TAATTTTAGAAGCTCCAAGGTAGCTGACATCTTAATTGGAGAAGGCTCCAGTTTTCTGTGAGAACATGTGGATATGTAAGAAATGGAGTTACAACAGGAGGGATGTAAGAAAAACAGGAAAACAACCCTTCTCCTCCTGCCCCCAACAGTGGGGTATATTTTGCTACAGTGAAATTTAGTAAAGGTTCTGCTAAAGAAAATTATGTAGAAATATTACTTTGAAAGAATTTTGAAATGAAAAATACTTTTAAATGCTTTTTTTTTTTCTGGTTAGTATAGAAACTAAATACAGTTATTTAATCTTAAATAGTCCTTTCAATTCACTTTTAGTTTGGATTTGTAAAATGCTCATTTAGGATGTAAAACACTTTTTTTTTTTCACATTAAAATATTTTTTCTTCAATAGCTCTTTGATAAATGTTTTCATACTTTCAAAGTTCTTAGTAGAAAACAGTTTGAATTATAGTAAAATATTTTGTATATTTTGCATTTGAAAAATTATGCCATTAAAAGAATATCTAAACATGATCTACTTGTAGAATTCATGAATAATCAATTAAATTTTGAGTTGTGGAAGAACCCAACTCTTCCTACATGTTTATTATATTTTAATTGGAAATGCAAATAGATAACAGTGTTGTAACAACTCAGAATTTCTAGAAATAGATTTTAATTCTGCCAAGGAAAATCACTGTACTAGCATATAGGTGATTGTAATGGGGGAAGGTGGAAAAGAGAGAGTTGAGAGTTGTAAAAACAGAACCCTAGAAGCAATGCCTGAACTTGTCAAAAAACTATATAGAAACTATACAGAAATTGAACTGTTAAATTGAGCAACCATAATTATCCATGCTGAAAGCTTCCTATGTTAGTTTAGGTTATGATGGTCAGCTGTACTCTTCAGCGTAGCAGGATGCATCACAGGTTCTGTTTAGCAGCCATTGCAAAGACAGGTGGGAAAATTTATTTCCTTGGATGCTGTTCCCTAACCCCCTACTGAACACAGGTTAACCATTGAAAAGATGTCACTTGATGCCAAGGAACAAAATGTGCTCTAACATGGCAAGCCAGTATTCATACACAGATGCAAACAACTTTCATTTGTTGTGGTTGTCCGTGTTCAGGTTGGAGTTGAAGCCCACAGGGGTCTGTCTGGGAGGCTGTTCTGTGCAAATGGGATGGTTTAGAGACTTTTCCAGTAAGCCTCTGAAATGATCCACTAAGCATGTGAAAATACCAATTTTCAAAGACTTAAAGCATAGCCAAAGCAGAATAAAAGACAAATCCATCTTGCCAGATTTCAGGTTTTTGCTCAGAAGCTTGGAGTCATGTTAGCAGTCTTCAAACAAACAGATGAAGAATTTAAAACATCTTGCAAAAACATTTCCTTCCAAAATATATCTTTTTATACAATTTAATGTTTTACTTAATTACTCTGAAAAGTAGTTTGAGACAATTAAAGAGTGGAAAAGCTAAAACTCAAGCAGTTAAATTCCTGGCAGAGAAAAAAAAAAAAAAAGATATACAGTGTGTTTTTTAAAGCAGCTCTAACAATGTTTTTTTGTTTTTTTTGTTTTTTTTTTTTTTTTTATTTAATTGAAACACACTGCCTCTTCTAAAAAATAAATCTTTAATAAATAACTGCATAAACTTACAAGTATTAATTGGTCCTTCAGTGATCACTCTTTTTACTTTTTTTTTTTTCGTCTTTTCTCTTTTTTAGTGCAGGAAAACACATACTGAACACAAACCTGCTTCTGATTAAGTTAGTGAAAGCAGGACTCTGATAAACATTTAGTTTGACAAAATGAATTCAAGATGTTGGAATTATTTCATCCATTTTATTAAACATTTTTCCTGAATCCTTCATTCAACGAAAATGTAAGATTTGAGTAGGTCTATTACATCTTCCCGAGAACTTTTTAGGCTAAAGGTAAACTAAATGCATCCAGAAAGGTGAATTGAATGACATCTGTTACACAGAAGGCAATGTGCACTTGATATAAACATATCACATAGAGATATATTAAAATAATCCCCTTACTTGTTCACACAAAGTAGAGCACCCAGGATAAGCATAAATGTATAGAAGTGGTTTTGTGAAGCTTTTTATCATTTTGGATATCCTTTTTTTTTTTTTTTTTTTTTTTTCCTTAATAGACTGCATGTGCAAGATTTATTTTACTCATCTAAATAAAAAGTTTATTTGTAAATATACTATTTTAAAAATATTATTTTAATACTAGTTTAAAAATATATTATTTTAAAAATAGTGTTAATTAATGAACTTGCCCTGTGTAGACTTCTATCTGCCTTTTGCTAGATGCTGACTGTAGAAAACACCTATAAGACAGTATACTTTTCTGCATAAAAGGTTTCATACTGGTGTGGGACAAAAACTATTCCTTTTATAAAATTGGTGTATGTTCTTTGATAAGCAAATGAAAATCGGTGGACTTCGTTTTCTGATTAATAAAATCTGATTGATTTGAGTGTGAAGAGTGCTTATGATGGATAGTTCTTACATACAGCATCTGGGTAAATCAATTATTTTGGTTATGAAATGTAGCTGAAGCATTTAAATTTGTGGCTATGATAAATACCCGCGTGGAAATAAATTATTGTCGTTTTCATGCTAAACAAGAAAAAAATACATGTGAACTTTTCAAGTTAGAACTGCCCATTAGGTATCTCTGGGCTGATTGTACTTGAACAGGAAATCATGACACTTTAACTGCTAACTGAGCACGTGGGGAGTATTAAACTGTATATGCTATGAAACACATTGTTTATTTTGTGTAGCATTCTCCTGCTCCCTTAAATACATACAAGATGGAAACTCACATACTTTTTTTAACCTTTAGCTGCTATCCTTGTACAGAAACTACTAAACAAAAACTGACGGAATAGTAAACCACTTGAGTTCATTTTATTTCATCTAACACTGATCACATTTCCAGTAGACAATAAATATAATGCATTGCTGACAGATGTGTGGAAATGTATATACAATTAGATGATGAAATTTGGGTCAAGGCAGTTCAAATCTCAGTTTATGCCTTTGCATTTCCGTGAGTACTGCAATAAAATTCCTACCTGCTGATGCATGACCTCCTGCAATATCAGCTTACCCTGGCTCATCCAGGCTGCTGTTGGGAAGACTGCCCTACCAATGGCATAGCAGTGCATCTCAGGCAGGATTCGAGCATTTATTGGAGTAAACAAGATTTCTTTGCCTGGCTTTGGACAAGACCTTGGTGCATTTTCCCAGCTGAGATGTAGTATTTCCTAAACTAGAAGATACTCAAGACACGAAAGCTCTAAACCTGGACCCTGAACAGGCTAGAGAGGTGGGCCTGTACAAACCTCATAAGTTCAACAAGGCCAAGTGCAAGGTCCTGTACCTGGACTGGAACAATCCCAAGCACAAATACAGCCTGGGCAGAGAATAGGATTGAGAGTAGCCCTGAGGTTACTGGCAGATGAAATGCTCAATGTGAGCCAGCAATGTGCACTTGCAACCCAGAAAGCCAATTGTATCCTGGGCTGCATGAAAAGCAACGTGGTCAGCAAGGTGAGGGAAGTGATTCTCCCCCTCTGTTCTGCTCTCATGAGACCCATCTTGGAGTACTGTATTCAGCTCTGGGTTGATCCAAAGGCTGGAACACCTATCCAGGTGAAGACAGGCTGAGGGAGTTGGGTTGTTCAGCCTGGAGAAGAAGAGAAGGCTCCAGGGAGACCTCATTGCAGCCATCCAGTACCTGAAGGGGGCCTAGAGAAAAGCTGGGGGGGACTCTTTGTCAGGGAGGGACTCTTTGTCAATAAATAATTAGGATGCTAGGTGTTGCATATGCAATTGGCCACTGCTCTTCCTGGCCATAATATGAAGATACAGGAGCAGTTGTGCTTATAAAACTATCCCAACTGTTCTCTTTTTAGTCCTTTCAGTCTTCTACAATTCATTTGGTCTTTACAGCTGTGTAAGACAATCTTTCTGTTGGCCTTTGTAGTATACATATGGTAAATGGTTCTCCTATTGCAGATGGGCTGGCAACTTTGCTTATACATAGAAAAAAGGCTTCTTTGGGGAAAAAATCTGAGTAATTAATTTAGAATTGAAGCAAGGAATAGGCAAGCACACACTGCAAATTATATTGCTATTACCAGTCTAACAAGAAACACTCCTTGTCTGCTTTGTCTGAGAAAGGCAGATCTGTTGTCACTGAATGAAAGCTATCCACAGTCCCACAGTACAACTCTGACACTGGAATCCATTGTGGTCTATATCTACATCATTGTTTTTATTGAAAGTTTTTGAGTCTCCTAGAAATGACTCAGAAGAAAAAATATCGAGTAACCTAGTAAGAATATGTGCATTTTTAAGCATGAAGAAACTTTCAGATGTATGGAAAAGGCCTGTTCATTTATCCGTGTGCTCTGTTACTATGATTTAGTATTAATTCAGTGACTACTGGTGGTTGGAATACAGATAACGGGAGACAGAAGTTCTTATTCTGATTTGCTCTGCAATGACTGACTTTTTACTTAAGTTCTCCGTTTTCTTCTAAGAAATACATATGTACATACATTTATCCAGTTATCCGTCCATCTATCCATTCATCCTTGCATATATGGAAGCATACATACATGTATATTTTATATATATATTATATATATATATATATATATATATGCACTGCCTCATGTGCATCTTATACAAGCTCTTTGAACAGTTTTGTAAGCCTGTGTCTTTTACTTCATAATACTTGGAGGAAAAGTGGGTAATACTGATGTTGCTGTTCACAACAAACTGTTATCTACTTTCTTAGATTTAGTAAAAAAAAAAAAAAAACAACTCACAGGAACAGGTATGGAGTTGTTAATCTAGCTACATTCCAAATTTTCCATGTAAAAATTATTTTTTACAAAAAAGTAAATAATCATAGGAAGTATATAAGAAGTACCACAATATATATAAATACCATCACCTTATTTAACAGGTCTATGGAAATGCAAGATCTAGCAAGTCCTCATAATCTTGTTGGGAGCAGCGATGCATCAGGTAGCTCCAAACTGGATAAACCTAATCTCAGTAGTACATCTGTTACAACAAATGGAACAGGAGGTAAGTGTAAAACATTTCTGGTGCATAGAAAGTTTGGACTCGCTTTTTTTCATATGCATTTTTAATGTTATTTCAATGATGAGCGTAATCCCGTTTATAATCCCAGGAAGAAATATTTAAATATTCCAGTCATACCAGTGTAAATCTACTAATCAATATTTCTCCAATTTCCACCAATTGAAATAAGAGGCAGAACTATGCAAAGGTGAAATTAAGAAAATTGTTGTACAGTTGTACCAGATCTTAAAGGCTTGGTTATACCTGCTGGTAACTTGAAATATATTGCATTTTCTGCTTCATACTTCATTGTTAAACAATAATTTACTGTTATGCCCTAAACTACACCCATGTAGATTTATTTGAAAACTCTCTTCAAAGAAGTGCATCAAAATTGTCACTACTTAGGTAATTTTCTTTTATGATGAACATGCTAATTCCATGTCTTGGAATGAATGTTTGTCATAAAGAGATTTTTACATTTACCTCAAAACTTACTGTTTATTATTGCTGTATCTATTACTGTAGACACAGCATTGCCGTGCAGATACAATACTGATGTTCCAATATTTTCAGATAATAGATTCTTCCATATCTGAGATGGAGGAGTAGGAGAAAGGGTACCACATTCTGAGTTGGAGTCCCAGCCGCATTACCATTCACGAGAGTGACACCATGGATACAAGTCCAGCTGGAGTTTCAGTCCTCTTTTTTGGTGCTAATACATGGCTGTAGTTTTAACAGCTGGCACAAAAAAGACCTTTGTAGTTTGTTCTTTCTGGCTACAATGTAAAATATTTTATTTACTTCTCCCTATTTTAAATATATATTTATATATATATTTAAATCTCAGTAAAAAGTGAATATGCATATGAAGGGAATAGAGCCCTAAAAAAAAGAAAAAAGTGCTGAACCATTAAGGTTCAACCTATTTACTATTTTAATAGAATCCGTATTCCAGCTTAAATAGAAGGGAAAACTTCAAGCATACCATTAAAGAACAGTAATAAATATATGCCCCTATATTATACTTTCATAAATAGACTGTTTAAAATAATGCTCATAAAAACAATACAATGCAGTTAAAAGAATTGGCTCAAAGAGTAAAAACACTTACTTGCATTGAAGAATATTTATGTACACTGAACAGACATTCGGACAATGAACCATTATGCCATTCCTGTCCTCAGGAGACAACATGACAGTTTTAAATACTGCAGACTGGTTGCTGAGTTGCAGTACTCCCTCCTCTGCAACAAGTATGAGAGATCCTGGTACAGTGCATGTGTGTGGTGGTGTGTCTCTGTGACTGCTGTGTAACTTCTCTTGGTTTGCTCTGTTCTTTTGCTCTGTGGTTTGAACATTTCCATGTTGTTGTTTTTTCCACCCCTTCCCAAGAGGCTATTCCCACAGCCAGAAAACTGGAGGGAAGTTGCAATATATAGTTATCTTACTGTACTTTGAAAGACATTCAAAGAGCAAGGAGAATTTTAGTAAGCTTAAAATTAGCTTAACTGCATAGATGCACCAAGAGCCTGGGAGAGCCTCGTGGGGTGAACATGCTGGGAAGGGCTAATTCTCAGCATTTCTGTAAGTCAGACCAACAGATTTTCCACTGAATGTGGAATGTAGCACTGATTGTGCTACTACATGTAACTTGCCACGTGTAACTCATAAACGTTTGACCAAAATTTCCAAGATGTTTAAGGCTAATTGAGTCTGTCACCTCAGTTAACTATTCAGCATGTTGAGATAAATATAGAAGGTAATAATTTAAATAGTAATTAATAACAGCAGGGAAATGTAGTATGAAACTACTTGCATTGTGGAGGGCACTTCAGCTTTGATACAAACTGAAATTAAATTTTCCAAAGGCAGTAGCATGTTTAGATCTGTTCTTGAATATGTCCTGGTGAGTCCAATTTGTTTTGTACCTGTACTTTTTAATGTATCTGTCATTATGGGATATTATGTATTTAAACTGTGTGGAATTTTGCATGCGCCATAACCTGTCCCTTCATGAGATGTGTATGCTAAAGGTTTTCCCTGGCTGCCTTTATTCAGCTGCTTCCATGTGCTGCCATCTCCATCCTTGATCTCAGATGTTCTGCCCAAACTGGGCCCTATCTCCTGCCCTCCAGACCTGGCACAGCTCTAAGCTGAGCCTCAGCTTGCCAGGCAGCTGCCAGCCACCACAAGAGAAGTGCTGCATTTGGCTACTGTCCTCTGTACAACCTTCATAGCTCATTCGCTAAACAACAAAAAAAAAGAAAAAAAAAAAGAAAAAGGAAGAAAATGAGCCTTTAGTCACACTTGTTTGTTCTAATATTACCTTCTATCTATTGCATGTGCTTGTCCAGCTTTGCACATAGTAGTAGCATCACCTGCCCCTAAAACTCTGTGTATGTTCTCAGTCTTTAACATAGAGAGGTTCTTTATGGGGAAAAAAAAAAAAAAGAGGTTGTAAAAGTCAGAGTAAAAGTCATGTTGACCTGTTAAGTTTCTTCATCAAATAAAGAACTTATATTGTAGAAATTACTGACTGTTTGGAGTAGTAGTCAGAGTTACTTTAGAAGTAATTAAGTTTGGGAGAAATCCCTGCAGGGCTAAGTCCTGCTCTGAGTAGGGCCTGTTACTCATGGCAGCATCCAGTCCAGTACTGAGTATCTCTGAGGGTGGAGGTGCCACAGACCCTCTGGGCACTGTCCCAGGGCCTGACTTCTCTCATGGTGAAGAATGTCTTACAACTAATTGTATTGTTCCCTTGTGTCTGTTGCCTCCACTGCATTCACTGGGCACATTCACAGATGAGCACGCCTTTGTTCTTCATCTTCATTGCACTTTCCCATTAGGTAGCTGAAGGCTAGCAATTAGTTTTCCCCTCAGCCTTCTCTACTTAGGACAGAACAACCACAGCTCCTTCTGTCAGTCCTTGTACATGTTCCCCAGCCCTGACCATCATGGTAGCTCTACTCTGTTAGCATCTTTAGTCTTCACTGTTAGCAACACTCAAATGCTTGAGAACACTTTTCATTTTATTTTTACTCTTTCAGTACTTAAAACAATAGACTTAATCCACACTCAACAAAATAAATAAGTGAAAATGAACACAACAGAATATTAAATTTATACTCTTTAAAGTATTCATTCACAATGATGGCTCAAACTCTTGATCTTTGCACTATGTATAGAGCAGTTGCCTCAGTAGTATTACAACCACATTGTACCTCACATGTCAGGAAACCTATGGATGATTTTGTGTTTTGATTTGGTGTTAGCTTATGTTTTGATTTTGGCTTTAAAGTTTTTGTTTGTTTGTTTTGTATTTGTTTTTTTTGTTTGTTTGTTTGCTTGTTTGTTTTGTTTTGTTTTTAGTTAGTACAGTGCTTTTTCACCCTCTTGTTTTAATGACATTCAACTTTAAAAAAAAAAAAATAGTCCAAATGTCTATCTACACTGACCTTGATGAATTCCTTACTGTGATAAAATCTGAATGTAACTAAGTAGAACTGTTTAAAATCAAGTGCACAAAAAATTGCTACAAGTATTTTTCAACAAAACACAGTGCCAATATGCTTTTTTTTTTTTTCCCCTCAAGTTACGTACATGAGAGGGTTTCTTTTGTTTTAGATCATTTTCTGCTTGACAGGGAGAGAAAAAGTTGGTGAATGTTTGTGCTGATGGAAGTGCACTGCAACTGGCATTAACCAGAAATAGACAAAACTGCAGTAAACACTTCAATTGAAGTGTTCAGCTGAAGCTTTGGCTAAAGGAAATGGTTAGGTGCAAAGTGAAGTTTTCTTCTGGATGCAATACTAAACATAGGTTTGTAGCTCAGTATGGGCAATATTGCAATACTTGCTTGAATAGAAAGAGTTAAAGGTGCTGAAAAGTTTTTTGTTTTTTTTTTTGTTTTTTTTTTTTCATGTAAGTAAATGTCTGCATTCTGAAGAGAAAAGAGACATGCAGCTTATAAAGTAACATATGACCAAAAATCTTCAGAGGAGAAAATAAAAAACTTTTCCACATACTATGGTTTGACATTCTCCTTTTGAGGTATAGGCAGACATCTGTACTTAGTAATCAGAAAGGCCTGAGAATCAGTGGAGTGATTGTTATTTTGTAGAAAATGACTCCTAAGCTTTTTCCTGCTACATATTTTATTGATTTTATTGATGACAATAAAGACCTTTCTCACTTAAATAGAGAAATGGGAACAGTTACAAACGACTTTGTTTATTTTATGTAAACTTTCCCAGTTTTTGTTTTGCTTTGCTGTTTGTTTGTTATTTAAACTCTCCCATCCTCAGTCTTGCCCATGAAGTCAAATGTGGGTGCAGTGATGTTGATGGCTTAGCTGACGTCCCTCAGAGGGGTCAGGTAGCTAGCTGGCAGAAAATGCTTTTGCTCAGGATGTTACATCTGCTGAGGGGCTCAGCCAGCCTGGTTGAGGCCAGGCTTCTCCACAAACCCCAGGCTGTGTCTTTCCAGTTCCAGTGCCTGGCATATGACTGTGGCAGTGGCATGTACACTCATCGCCACTGCACTCTGCATGCCTGGGCTGTGATCAGTTCTGTGATCCATAAGCAGGCCCCTGACATATCTGATAAATGTGCACACATGCCTAACTGATCGTCACAAGACAACTGTGGTAACATGTTGGGGTTTTTCAATGTTAGTGTTTTTGATATTTGCCAGTCAAATATCTATTAAAAGTAGCAGCATATTCTGCACTGCTGTTTCTTACCACATCAGTTAGTGGTTCCCAAACTCTGTCACAAAAGTCCATGCTAAATGGTCTGTGTAGGTAACATATTAAACTATAAAATCTGGATTGCTGCTGTGGTGCCTTCAGTTATGGTTTGGATAGTAGGATAGTAGGATGGTAGGACTGCATGATTGTCTGTAAGAAATATTTTGAGTTCATAGTGGATCCAAATGTTTGGTAACCTCTGAATTAGAAGCCGACTTGTTACAGCTGTCATTTGTATCCCACTGTAGTTCTTTCGCTTCTTTTCTATTAAACTTCACTCTTCTTTAACGGAAAATTTCTTGCTGGTGACCTAGCTCGAAATAAAGAAATAAATAAAATCCCACAGATACTGAAAAAGGTGAAGGAGAAGGCAGAATGCTGGCACTGTGAAAGTAATTTGCTTCTATATGAGCATGAAACCATATTATTATTGTTTCATTCGTCAGGCAAAACTATTTTTGTGATGTGCTATATATCCCTTGACAGCTAATGTTTCCTTCCTCTCTGCTACTCTTAAGGAATTGTTGGAATCAATTAGATTTAGGTTGAAATCACCGCAGAAGATATTTCAGTTGCTAAAGCCAATAGATAGCTGAATGCACAGATAAAAAGCTATGTATGCATGGTCATTCCAAATGGTAGCAATGGTACCAGTGCTGTGGTAAAGCAAAGGTTGAAGCTGTTGCATCATATACTTATTATATCTGGACTACCACTAGTGAGACAGGCATGAGGACTCCAGTATAAATTTAGAAGTAAAATCTCATGTCTACTTATTCTTCTATGTAGTGTCTCTTCTTGCAGTCAAAACAGAGCCCATGAACAGCAACGAAACAACAACCACAACTGGAGATGGATCGCTTGACACTTTTACTGGGTCAGGTAAAGCCATAATAAGATCACGTATCGCTATATGCACATTAATGTAGCATTTAATAACCTTCACTAATGAGCAATGCACTGCATGGAAGTGATCTTTCAGAAGACACAAAAAGTAACATTTTAATACCAAATAACAATTCTATTTTTTTGTTTGTTTCTGTAGATATGTTTAAAAAATATATGCATTTTTCATGAGCTATGATCGTAAAAAGCGGCTTTAATAATGACTAAGACCATTCCTGTATGTAAAAATCTTACAGTAATATTATACTGTAGCTTTTTTTCAGTGCTAGTCTTTTATGATTTTAGGAAGAAAAAAATATAGATTGCATTTGGAAAGGCTGTTCTAATTTGTAAAATTTTAAATCTTAAAGGTTATATTTCAGTGCTAACCTTTCTATATGTATGAATAATGTGTTATTTTAAACACTGACCAGATTTCCCAATTCTTCTTTTTCTCCATGTAAATATTTCAGTTTAAGTATTTTAAATATTTTGGTATTAATTGTAAACTTCAGTTACTTCTTAAAAATTAAGCCAGCAGCAACTTCTAAGTAGTTTCCTATAAATTACTAAAAGGTGATGGACTGTGAAAAAATAAAAATTAAAAAAAAAAAAAAACTGCCTTCTAATTATTAACAGAAAATAATATTAAAAATAACATTAGAAGGGAGAGAGGGGAGAATTGATTTCATGTCTGACAATACCAATTCAGTGATGGCCTGACTGAAATTTCACTGAAACTAAGAATTGCCATGAAACTGGTTTTGGTAGACATAGGTAGTCACAGCCTACTTCAAATATTCTGGAAATCATGATGCTTCTGTATAATTAAATTGTTTTAAAAACTGAGCATATGTTTCTTGAATTGTTTTTAGGCATCAGTAAATGCAGATATACTCTGAAGTTTGTTAGTCAGAAAAGAATTGAAAACAAATTTTGTGCCTGAAATAAAAATCTTTTGTGAGATGTAAAGTAGCATATACTTTTTCTGATTATTAAAAATGAAAAAAAAAGTTCTCATTATGAAAGAAACAGAGTCAACTTAAAATCTAATAAGTTGCATTAAAAAAATAGCTAAAATTAGCTAAAAAAAGTTGGCTATTTTTTTTCTTCACTCTGATTATTGTTACTCTGTCCTAAGACTTTATTAGGAATGATTACAGGTAATAAAATAAAATGTCTGACTATATATGATTTTGGCATTGTTGATGAGATTTTTATCAGCCTGTTCCATGTATTTAAGACATCTGAGTTTTATCTCACATGTAAAGCCTGGCTAAGGCAGCATTTGCAGGAAGGAGGTGCCAAAAATTGGAGTTCAAGTTCATGCTTAGGTACCTAAATAACAGCTTGATTTTTCAGGATGCCGCTCACCCCTTAGCTTCCACTGACAGGAAAAGAAGCGTTGAGATCTTTGGAGATTTGAAACAGGTGGTGCTGCCAAAAAATGAAGGAACTTGGGCTTTACACAATCTTTTTTGTCCATTAGCCACCTGCATATTCAAATGAAAAATGAGCCTGATTCTCTGTTTAAGCCACAAACTCCAGTATTAAATGAGTATGGTCATTCAAAGTGAGAAATTAGTAGTCTGCCTGTCAAAGTGATGTGCAGTCTTCATCATAAGAACGATGAAGGCAGAGCTGCCTTCACAATGTACTGAGTCTTTCATAAGGAGTAAATCCATTACTTGCCTTGTACTGGTACTTGTAAACTGGGCAATATGATTGTATCAGTTCTGCGGCAGATGTCTTAAAAAAAAAAAAAAAATCACAGAAAAAGCATTTCTTTGACTTTTTAACCTAATTGGTGATTTGGGAAGTTTGACGTGTTGCTAAAGACAATAAATATTAATTAACTAGTACAAAGATGTCATTTGAGATGAACCAGCTGCAATTGAAAACAATGCATAACAATGCCCAGCACTTCACATTGTTTGCTTTTTCCTAAAAATCAGTAACACATATATGTTATTCCCAACCATGACAAAGTGATAATGCTAGTACTTTTCTGCAGTTTTCAGAGCACCTGTGAGCTCATTTCATAAGGATGCCTGGACATAAACCACTAGCCACTAGCAGGGATATCACTTTCTGTTTTAAACAAATATAGGTCAGAAGAATTCAAGCAACCATTGTTGAGTAGGGAAAGATTTAGGTATGTTATTAAACATTTTATGAAATAAAATCACATAGTGGAAAGGCTCACTTGAGAGTCTACCATGTAGAATTCTTCTCCTTCAAATATTCTACCCATTAAAATTGATTTCCATGGTCCAAGGGCAATAAAAACCCATGACATGTCCTGGGGCTGAGCAGAAGGCTGAACAAGCTCTGTAGGGTATAAAGTAGCCAGCATTGTTCCTAATGACCATCTTTAACACAGAAAGTGATGATCAGATGTACCATGCAAGGTATATGGCAGGAGAGACAGAAGAGGCCTCCCAGGTAACTGATGAACCCTGATTTTTGATGGATAAACACTGCAGCTTTTTAAACTGCTGTCTTACACTCGGGCTTGCTCCTTCGGTGACATTCTGCAGTCAGAGGTGCCTCCAAGATAATCTTCATGGTCTTATGACTATGTCCAGTGCTAGGTTAATGGCTGAACCAGATGATCTTAGAGGTCTTTTCCAACCCAAATGATTCTATGAGACTATGAAAATAAACCTGCAAGTTGAAACTGAATGTGCAAGCTTTGAATCTCACTTAAATAGCATAAACTGAATATACTAAATAAGAAACCTCACATCTCAAGAGTTAAGCTGAAAAATAAACCATGTAGATCTAATGAATTTAGAATGAGAGTTGGCATGATGGCTCTGTCCTGGCTGTGGTGTTTCAGCTCATGCTCAGAGCTCTGGTCTCCCCCTTCTGCAGAGTTACCCCCTGAGAAAAAAAAAACAAAAAACATGCCTCAGCATAGGGTAGCAAGGTAGGGAGTCATACTGTGGACCCCTCTTCCTCTTCCTTTTTCTTCAGAATGGCAGTTGGTAATTAATATCCGTATACAATTTGAATCTTTGTGATCCTGTAGCAGACTCTTTTTGGTGTGGAGAGCTGCAGAACAATCTTAAGCTCTGCATTTTCATACTCTGAAAATTTGCTGTAGCTGCTATATTCTGAGTGAATTTCTTTTTGTATTTCAATTGCTTAGAATACTAGATTAATTTGGGAACTGTTCATCATTTTAATGGAGCTGACAGAAACATTAGAAGATCTTGTCGGCTTTTCTATTTACTATTTATGACACACACGCACATAAAAAAAGATATTAAAAAAAAATCTTAAGGCTCTAAAGGCAAGGTTAGGAAATGTCACCACTGCATAACCTTCATTTGGTTCCCTTTTGTGTAGAAATTGTGATTCACTATTTAAATGAGGTCCTTTTAACCTATCCTCTTCACATAGAATTTTCCAGATGCTTAATGGAAAATACAAAATTCTAGCCTGTGTTAATTTACTGAACCCAACACATGCTATCAACATCGTTTATGGTTATTTCAGTTCTCCACATCCACCTTGGACAGTTGAGCTAACAGGGTAAATAGTAAGAGATAGCTGTCAGCTTTTTGCCCCCCTGTGAATCAACATTAGTTGGGATAGGGACATGTCCTCAGCATTGTATTGAGCCTCAGCTCTCTCAGGCTCTCTTGCTTGGAGCGCACCTCAGTGGGCCCACGTACATCTCCTTTTTCTCCATAGCTATGTTGTTCCCTCTTTGTATTTTGTTCTGTTACATTCCTATCTCCTGAAAACCTTTGTCTTCATCTCAGCCAACCCTGGTCAGCAACATCTTTTGGCATCTGGTACATTAATTCCTCATCCCATCCTCAGACGTCCAGCCCAAGGAGCTCTTCTCTTACACATCTGTCCTCAAGCCTCACTGCCATTTCTGAATCTCCACCTTCCACGTTTCCTTCCAGAGGTCACTTCTCCCCATGGATAGAGGGTGGAGATGCTGGAATCCTGTATGGCACAGATCAGCCAGAACTACCACCTGTAGAGAAAGTGGGCCTAGTGAATAGAGTTTACCTGCCAACATCTGCATGCTGCTTTTACAGAGCATGTGCAAAATGGGACTTTTTTTTCTTTTCAGAAGTATGCAGCTTGATGGATTTTCACTTGAGAAATAAAGGGTCTTATACCTGCCCAGAAAACCATTCCTTTACTAAAGTCAAGTAATGAAGTCTTAAAAATATTTGAGTTTTTCAGAGAATAGACAGATTTGTTTTTAATATAAAAAATAATATAATGTTGTCTACCCCCATTCCTATAAATGGCTATAGAAAATGACATGGCTATAAAAAGCATAGCAACCTACCTCCACCATCTCCTCCATTACCAGTCCTCTCTACCAAAAGAGAACTAGGGTGACAGCAGTAAAAGTTGTTTAAATCTGATAACTGACAAAATTACCAATTTGAGCTGTGAAATACAGCATTAGTCCACAGGCCCTACTCAGTCACAGTGTTCTCTTATTGTGGGTCTTGTACCCCGTGTTGTCTCATATTCTAAAATGTTCAAAAATAGATGTGAAAAGAAGAGAAAGAGTGAAAGGAAAAGACTTTAATTTGAATGCTGCACAATTTGTTTCTGGGGCACGTGCCCCATTCTGTCTCCTTTCTACAGTCATTAGTGACATTAGGTAAACTGAAAAAAAATAAAATCCTAAATTCTTTGCTTGTCTGAATTTATGAAATAAGGTATATGCAGAAAGAATAAAAAAAGTAGGCAGGACAAGTTTTTTGCTGAAAAACATTAGATTTTCATAACTGAAGTGGGGTAAATGAACAGTCATTCATTTTTTGTAGTTTATACCAGCTTTAGTGGAATGGTAAATGTGCTTTAACCGAGATGATTAATTGAGTGATGTGTCATTCAGCAAACAATAGACAAAAAGTGGAGCAGTACAGTTAAAAAAGATCTGATAAGCCGGTAATGGATCATGAAACTTCCTTGCCCTGAGAATCACCAAGGTCACTGTGTTAGCTATTGCTTGTCTTCAGAAAGGTCACAGTGATACAACAGGCAAGACTAATTACTCCTCAAGGGTTAAATAAATACCAGCATCCTTTAGGGTTTTATGGGCAGTTTATGTTGATATATACAGCTAAAGGTTCGTCTAAATCTGGGAAAAGCTTTCTGCACACCAAGTAGATCACTCTACCAATTAAGCTTAAACCATGGAAAGACATTCTCAGAAAAGAATAACCAACAAAATTAAATTCAGCACATTTCCATCACAGGCAAATACTTAATATCTTCTCAGCCAGCAACTCTTTTATGAAATCTGGTAGCACAAGTTCAAAAAAAAAATTTCATTTTTTTATTTTCAAGTCATTCTCAACTGTGCATTTTTTGTTAAAAAAAAAAAAAAAGAAGCTAATGGTTTTTCTTCTACTGTATTTCCTTTTAAGTCCTACACATTCTAAATGTGTTTAAACTAGCTTTAAAAATATGAAGTTCTGCATGTGTTCAAAGCAATAGATCTCAAAGACATTAATTAGACCTGGATGTAGAAATATATCATGTTTCATAAAATAGTTAGGAACCTAAACCTATTTGTCACTTATATAATTCTGAAAGTTCATTTCTACTACCATTATGAACAACTCAGGAAGAGGGTACACTTTGAAGTACAACTATGATTGATTAGACTAAAGAAATTCCAGTGCTTCGTTGTGTACTACTTTAATCTTTTGAAAAGTGAATGAGCAGCAGATGGCCTAATAAAGACACTCTGTATGTTTGCCCAGTATGGATTTGGTCTGAAGGGATTGGTTCAACACTTTAGAGTACATATATTTGGAATACATCTGTCTTAGTCAAGACAGATGGCTAAAGGAAAGAGAAACTTCGAAACACTTGGAATTAATCCAATGTGAACACCGCTTTTGAATGAAATTTTAATGGGATATGACTATTGTTCTGTTAGCTTTCTTGGAAGAATGCAGCTGTTAATAGTATAGACATACATAATTCTAATGGCTACTGTACAGGGATGTTTTTCAAATACAAATGTTGTTAGTGCCTGTGTTCTAATCAGCCTGTTGATAATGATGTTTATTTGGCTTCTAGTAGTCAGTTAGGCATCTCCCATCACCTAAGCAAGCTAAAATTGATCATACTCATATAAAACATATTTTTACTATACAATATCAAAATTAAACTTGTTAACGTAGACTGTAGAACAATGAATGTTTGTTCTGTTTGTCAAATGTTTCAGTTTGTGTATTAAGATGTTACAGTTCAAGTGACATCTTTGTTGAAAAGCTGTTTCAATGAAATTTTCTGCTAATGTGACTGTATTTGTATTTAGACTGTTTGGCTGTAATGGTCTCATGATGTTTTTAACTGTCAAACTCTTTGTTTTCTGTTTTGCAGTAATAACAAGTAGTGGTTACAGCCCAAGATCAGCGCATCAATACTCACCACAGATATATCCCTCCAAGTTAGTGTCTGTACCTATTCTAGTCTTGTATATGAAATTGACTTTGGTTGTAGGCAGGTCTGTGGTTTGCTGCAAACAAATATTCATCACCAGAAGAAAGAGAGAGAAAGTAAAATACTTAAGCTTCAGTACAGATTCTATTACAGTTCTATGTCCAATGTTGTTTTTTTTTTCTCACGTGGCTGGCTGCAGGGTAAGATCTTACTCTGTGCAGTACTGTACTGCCACACAAGAAATATCCTTGAATTTCTGCACAAAACAGAAGGAAAAAAATGGAGTGGAGTGACACATCAACATCTTAATAGTGCTGGCATTAAATACAGACATATTTTGAAGACAGTTTATATTTAGAAATTACAATTGCATGTGCAAGATGCGTACTTAAGGGTAACCCTCCCAGTACTGCCAAATTGCTCCAAACATTCCATAGTTATGAACCACCCTTTCCTACTTTCTCCAAGATTGTAAGATGTAAAAATCAAATAAATTATATCAGATTAACTTTAATCTCTCTCTTTTTAAAATTATTTTGAAGCCAGTGGAGGGTATTAAAACTAGAACCTTTCTTCCAATTTATTTTTAGTTATTATTTTTATTATTTATTTATTTATTGGGGAAACTATGTCAATCATATAAATTGAGGAGTGGGAACATTATGGAAAGCCCTGAGGATGTTTTATGAAATTGACGAAATTGACAACCTATAAAATTGCATGAGTGCTTTGCAAAAGGGTGCTGGATTTCAGTATGCCATACATTTTTTTCAGTGTATTCAATGCATCTACCTATGCAACTTTGTTATTTGATACAGAGAAAACATTGAAACTATAGCTGATGACGCTTTTTCAAATTTCTTTAACAAATTTGCATTCATTTCATGTTAACCAGTATTTACTGATAGAGAAAGTAGATGCCTAAACTAAAAACATTCCTCCTTATTCCACGTAAAACAAGTTTTGGCAGACTATATCAGATACCTTTGCCCAAATACATTGCACGATTTAATAGATTTTTTAATCTACTGTAATAATTTACTGGCATCTAAATTAATGCGTAATCCTTTTCTGATAGCAACGGCTGCCAACTGTACTAAAATAATTAGAAAGAAAAAAAAAAAAAGAATAAAGAAAAATAAATTAGAATCTGAAATTTAGTCATGGCTTTAATGGCCAGGTTTCAGTTAGCTTAATTCTGCAGAGTATGTTTATTCAACTCTTGGTCCATAAAATCTTATTTGACTTACAAAACAATCCAAGACAAATGTTTCTCTGTATGCTTTTGCAACTTTGGAGGGCAAAAATTTTAAACTTGATTTTGTTCAATCTCTCAATAAAGCCCCAGTATTTATAACTTAAAGCCATTTTTATTCCCATTCTACTTCCCTAGCCCATATTTTCCAACTGTTTAAAGCCCATCTGGTTACTAAAGCATAGTTTTCATGCTTCTCTAAATGGGCATGATCCACCTCCCATTGAAGCCAGAGATGTCTGCTAGGTGTCTGCTGAAGCAGAGCCATACATAGAAAACACAATGTAGTAGCTTTAATGTACTCCTCTGTATTTCCTTTATTCTTCCAGTCCTACTGTCCCTCCACTGAATTAAAGAAATGAGGGCCTTTCTCATATGAGCATGCTGATCTTGCCTCAAAAGTGTCAAATCCATACAAAACTGTTACAGCAGTGATACAGTGCACCTAGAGCTGAACACAAGAGCTTAAGAATTAAATTGTAGTGATGGGACTGCACAAAATACTCATAGTGCCCTGGAGAATGTGAGCCAGAATGTTTTTCAGTTTATTTCAGTGGGGGATGGAATAACTCCCATAAGAGGAAGAGTTGGCAGAATAATGAACTGCCTTTGGACATCTCTAAACCTTTTTCTTTACTTTATTGCTTGAATAAATATACAAAGTATTTGTTGCCACAGTAATGCTATTTTTCCTGATATTTAGGCCCTATCCACACATTCTTTCTACACCAGCAGCTCAAACAATGTCTGCCTATGCCGGACAAACCCAGTATTCAGGAATGCAGCAACCAGCGGTCTATACAGCCTACTCACAGACAGGACAGCCATACAGCCTACCTACTTACGGTATTTGACCTCTTATTACTTCTCTTTACATAGAAGTAAGAGCAAAGAGTAAACATTTTTGCCTTTTTATTATTATTATTATTTTTCCCCGCTGTAAGAAAATATTTTAAAGAATCAGTTGAAAATTAATTTCTTATACAGATTTGGGTGTAATGTTGCCAGGCATCAAGACGGAAAGTGGGCTCTCGCAGACGCAGTCACCACTGCAGAGTGGGTGCCTCAGTTACAGTCCAGGTTTTTCCACCCCACAGCCAGGCCAAACACCATATTCATATCAGATGCCAGGTAAGTAGCCCTTGCTGTCATGCATCATCCTGCCCTGCTGCTGTCGATGGCCCACTATTCCCTCATTTTTATATTTTCAATTCATTTTTGTGAACTCTATGTATATGTGTGTCATTGGCAGCAATTTTTACCACATAAAGCCAGATTTTTTTTTTTCCAGTATTAACATGCATATATATTAATTTTGGTCATTTTCTAATCTAAATCATGACATATAATGCAGTCCTCATTTGTAACTTAAGTTTTTTGGGGGGTAAAATCACATGGCAGGACTGGAAGCACTAGTTGTATTTATCGGAGAACACAAGTCACTTTCCTTTTTTTCCATGTTTTTGAGTATGACATCATTAGATGCTTGTTTTAGAATTTATCCTTAATTCATATCTATTCTTTCATTTATTATTTAATTTATAATTCATTTATTGCCCTTAGATCATTGATACATTCTTTTATCTGAATACATTTGTAGTTTCTAGTACAATGGCAATTTTTTTAAATATTGCATGTACAATATTAATCATCTGAATTATCTTGAAAACATGGAAATGCCTCATTACAGGTCAGTTAAAAACAACCAGATCATTAAAATATTCTTTAAAAAAAAATAAAAATGTTTCATAAGTGAACATACACATAAGCATTGCAACTTATAAGGAAATAAAGGAAAAAGGGAATAACAGTATCTGAACAGAGGTGAGACACTGTAAAATACTGAAAAATATTTTTGAGATTACTGTAGTGACTTATTGTCAATACAGTTCTTCAATTGTGAGAAAAAGACTGTATGCCTGTATGCGTGGAAGTAGCATCGCATTTATTTTAAAGTCTCATTATAATGTTTTATTATTTAAATGGAAAATAAAAATTGTTTGCTCCTGTGGTCTGTCTATGTCTTAGCATGAAAGCCTATATTTAGAATTGTATTTTGATTCAAAAACAAGTTATTGCAACTAATCATAGTTTTAATTTTAGGTTCTAGTTTTACACCATCATCCACTATTTATGCAAACAATTCTGTTTCAAATTCTACAAACTTCAGTAGTTCACAACAGGTATGAATATCAACATTTTTCTTCGTGCATTATAAAAGTATTTCTGTAACTCTAATGATGGCGTGTTATTTAAGATTATATTTTTTATGCTCAATGAGACTTACTGTGGTTCAGTGCTATTTTCTGTGGAAAACAATGAAAGTCCCAGTGGATGCCTAGTTTCATCTTTTGGCACCTAAATACTTCATCAATCTTCCCATAGTCTTCTAATAAATATTCTTAAACTAGAAAATGTAAAATAGAATCCAGCAACTTCTTGCATAAGTCATTTGATTGCATACAGAAATACTTTATGGAAAAATTGCTTGTTACTCTACTCAGTTAACTGCATTTGCTGTTTTAGGATTATCCATCATACACAGCTTTTGGCCAAAACCAGTATGCACAGTATTACTCAGCATCAACATATGGTGCATATATGACCTCAAACAACACAGCTGATGTCACTTCTTCATCATCATCAACCTACCAGTTACAAGAATCTCTCCCTGGCCTGACTAGTCAACCAGGTACAGATCTACATTCAGGTGAAAACAAAATTTTAATCTTATCCTGTATTTGTATAAGGCGAAGATTTCCATGTCTACCCTGGTGATTTTTTTACTGTTTGACATTTTAAGGTCATGCCTTTCTGGAAACTTTATTTATCATGTTATCATGCAAACCAACCAAAATAAGCTTTCTGTTTGTTTTTGTTTGCTTTTTTTTTATTATTATTATTAGTTTTTTTTTTAAGAAATCTGTGCAACTTGTTTGTAAGTTAAAAAAAAAAAAAACTTTGCAATTTGAGATTGTTATCTGTGGAAGGAGTAGACTGAAATTGTTGCAATGGTCTGTTAGGGATCTGTTAGTACCAAAAACAAATGTACAGTAACAAACCTTTAGTAAATTCCGAAATAAAAATTCAGTCAGGTCTCCAATGTAGTGTAACATTCTGGCGGTGTAACATTCTGGTATCTACCTACATATTCTGAAGGGTTACTGTAAATGATTTAAAACGCAATGTTTTTCTTCATTTAATTGTGCCCCAATCATACCAGCAAGTGTACATGTATTTTATTCAAAATGTATACAAGCCAGACTTGCTAATTCACAAATTTAGGTGACTAAGAATAGAGCAATCAGTTATTAACAGTATTCTTTAAAACAAATGACTGAACAAAAAATTGAAGTAATTGAAACTCTGAAAAAGATAGCTCCAAAGAGAAATCAGGAGACTAAATTTGCCTGCCCAACTCTGCCCCCTTGTGCATATGAATTACTACACAGTATTTAGTTAAACGTCTGTGTTCTTAGGGCATCACCACTGGATAATGACAGCTCCTCATTTTTTCTCATTATCATTATAACCCAGTTCACAGTCACTTATTTTCTCTGTTCTACATGTCGTGAAAATGGAGATGTTAACCAAGGATTTTTTTTTCACACTAGAGTTCCTGAACATCTCACCAATATATTTTCCCACATTTAATCTATATGGGACTAAGGTACATCAAGATAAAATTATGCCTTTGAAATGATGCATAGTACAGTTCAGAGTCTCAAACTTCTCTGAGGGCTGTCTTAGGAACTTGCAGCCACAGTCAGATGTGTGATAACCTTACTGGGTGAATAAAGCCCGTTTTTTCGTCCTTACTTTCCTATATTGTTTCTATTATTTCAGGAATTCCTTAAAATTCTATTTCAGTTTTATTTCATATTTATATCCTAAATAGCCTACTTAGAGCTGCATGTAGCATATGTTAGAAAGGAGATAATTGCCAGCTGCCTGGCCCTGTGCAGTTAGAGCAATGTTGTAGAGACACTGGCTTCACATATACAGCATGGTTAAAGTCTGCCTTGCCCACAGGCTGTGACCATTTATGAATACACTAACAAACTGGGTTTAGGATTAGGGTCTGAAAAGGGAAAATGTGCTTTTCTCACAAAATCAACTCATTCTGTGAGTCTTCCTAATTCTCATCCTAACAACTGAACACTGATAAACATCATGGTAAAACTGCTGTGTTATAGTAGTGTGTAGAAAGGAAGGGTAATACTGTGTAGAAGAGTATAGGCAAGGCCTCATACTTCATATAAGCTGCTTAAATTTACTGAAAACGTTGGAATGTTTAATTGCATGAGTTTATTTTTTTTTCCTACTAGCTGTTTTCCACATACTGGTCTTTAAATTGTGTATATATGTGCATGCATGTGCATATTTGTGGTATGGCATGGTATGGGGAGATCATAGAATCACAGAATGGTTTGAGTTGGAAGGGGCCTTAAAGACCACCTAGTTCCAACCCCCCTGTCATGGGCAGGGACACCTTCCAAGAGATCAGGTTGCCCAAAGTCCCATCCAACTTGGTTTTAAACACTTCCAGGGATGCAGCATCTGCAACTTGTCTGGGCAATGCACATTCTCTTGGTTTTTGATGAAAACATAAAATGCCTCAAAGAGCAATTTTAGGAAGAAAAGTAAAGATGCAACTTAAAATCAATTGAAATTCCAACAGTTGGAGAACATTCATGATTGCACAAGATCATATATAATGTATTTTCAAAAGAGTGGAAAGAGTATTCACAATTGATTTTTTGATAATTGTGCATGTCTGGTGCATGTCTGGTGTCACTTTTTCTTGCTCCTTTTTTATTCTATGTTTTTATTTGAGAAAATCAGACAGCATTTTACCTTTGTCTCTACCTTGCATATCTGTTTCCTCAAAATGCTGTGTAGATATGTCTTAAAATTACCTTAGTATTGAATAACAAGATTGACAAAATAGGAATTGACAAAAGAAAATAATTTTACATTAAACAGATCTATTTTCTATCTGCTTAAACAGATAGAAAAAAATATTGAAGGCTGCACATCTATGAAATAATAAGGACTTTTCTTATTTGTGTGTTTTTTTAAGCATATAAACTTGTTTTCCTTTTAAGTAGGTTGTGCATCTGAACTTACAAATCTGCCCACTCACTCCTTATTTCTGTGAAGTGCTGCACTGGTCATGAGACCCTCTATTGAGAGTGCAACACCCACTTTGAGAATACATGACATGCCTGTGCCCTTGTGTGTCACTGTAAAAATAAATTTGTATGTGTGAAATTCAGTTTGTTGGATATAGAAATCACTTCAGATAGATCATACTGCAGAGGTTCAGTACTCAACATGTTTGCTTGCTGTCTAACAGACCGGACCTTCATTGCTTGGTCCTAAAAGTTACTCCAATTAAAACATAAGATTAAACACAGTAAGGCACTTCATTCTTCTGCCATCTCTGCTAGCTGCTAATTCAAATTAGTCTCTAGTACTCTCCATAGACACAGAACTTCTTGTGATAAAAAGCCCCAAAAGATCAAGATTTAAATATCTGTTACAATTTTATTTGTTGACCAAGTAAAGAAAATGAGATGCAAATTGAAATAGGCATTGCTCTCTCTACTACTCATAACAACTAATAACACATTATGGGTCTGGTCTTTGCTTCTAATAAAGAAAGGGATTCTTGTCAAAAGCCCTGTGTTTTTGAGGAGCTTGTGGACTGTCAATAGACTGCTGGGGTCCAGAGACAGCCACTTGCACCGAAGTCTCACTGGCAGACAGGGAGAAGATTCAGTGCCCCCTGCTCCTGACAGTATTTGGTGAGAGGCTGTGACATGCTCATCTGGAACAGGATACAAACACACACAAGACAGTCAGTGGTAGCTTTCCACCATTACACACATCAGAAGTTGTCTCACTGAGCATTTGTTCTGGTCTGTGCCCACAATTTTCTCCAACTTAAATGGCACAACTATGTTTTAACAGGGAGGAGAGGATGCTTGCATCAGACTACACACACTAACTACAGACCATTTTTGAAAAAAAAAATGTTCTGAATATGAACTACCTCTGTTTTTACCGGTTTTGGTGTAACTCCCTCACCTCTGGTTGGAGCTGCTGCAAGGTCTCTGTGGCATGGAAGGCTTCATGCTGGACATGAACCTGTGTATGAATATGTGCACAAATATCTGTATATCTGTGATGAACTGGTCATTCTGTGTTCCAGTTTTAACATGTTCCTCTTGTTTTATTGGATTTTTGATGCTGCTCATAGTTCCAGTGACAGAAGGCTATGATATGTATTTATTAGGCATGTTATAAATATTGGAAAAACAAAAAAATTTCAAATATTATAATAAAAATTTCTGTCTAATGTGAGCTGCAGTAGGAAATCTTTATGAGGGTAAGGTTTTCAGTACTCTTTGGTACTAGAATTTCTCAGATTCTTTTACAGAGCTGAATTTTTAATAAGTTTTCCTTTTATCAGTATTGACCTCATTTCTAAAACAAATTAAAGATAAGAAAATGCAGTTGCTCATTTAGCCTGCTGTTGGTAAAAAGCAAATCAAACAATTAAGCCTACAGTTGTTAAAAAAAAAATCACTACAGACTTATGCAGTTCTAAAATAGATGCATACCTTGCATTCAAGTAAGAGACAGCTGCTCATTCTGATTTAGAGATTAGTGTAATGAAATAAAGTTGGCTCTAAATATATAGGACTTACAATGTACAGTGATTAGTTACAGTACTGATTAATGGATAATTATGCAATCACATACAGTGTTGGCTCAAGCAGAAGCCCGGGGCAACTGGTAATGGCTAATGCTAAATGAAACTTGAAGTTACTTACTTCAGTTGTTAGATACATTCAGAGAAGATTTAGAAAATAGGGTGTTGTTTTTTTATAAATATTTTATTTTTGGTAGATTGGAGTAAGCATGCTCATTGAAAACAGACGTTTTAATATATTACTGTAGATTACTGTAGAAATGAGCCTTGATCCTTTTGTAAAATGTTGGCATGTTATAAATATGTTTTTTTGTTTGTTTTTTTTTTTTTTTTGTGATAAGGATGTAAACATTCATATTCAGTTATTTAGTTTTTGACTCTGTTGCTGGGTTTTATTTTTGGATTCTTTTTCCGTTCTGTCAGAGTAGCTGGGAAATTATAGTTTTGTACATACTTAAAACTTCTTTTGAAGTCAGTATCAGTTTTTGCTGTGCAAGGAATGTGATTCTGAAACATCTTTTAGTACATTCTTACATTTAGAAAAGTATATTTTGCTGTTCTGCTTGCAGAGAAAGAACTAAGATAATGTAACCTTATCGATTGCTCCACGACCTGCAGTGTCCTTATTGACATCAACACCATTCTGGAAATGGAAATAATTTGTCGATAAGAGCTCTCTCCCCATTGTGTAGGGACAAAGTAAAAACACCGTGGGAACGTTATTCATTACATATTATTATTGCTGCCTAATTTCCCCATCATTTCTTTTCTGATAAGAGTTTCAGCTGAAAGAGAAGAGAAAATACTACAGAATATCAGGACAGACCTATCAAAAATGGCACCTGGAATAAATTCTCAAATTACAGTTCTAAATATCTCTTCTTAGCAGCTGCCTGAAAGTTTGGCTGTATTCTGCAAAGCCAGAGACACACATTGGTTTTGCAACATTGAACTAGTCATCATCTAGTTTGAGAAGAAAATAGTAGTATCCTCTTCCAGGTGACAGTAGAATAATTTTAGAGTACTTTGTCAGGAAGTGAGAGAGACAGATTTGATTTCCTCCTGTTTCATGGAGAATTCATCATCTTCCACTTGGATGTGCAGATATATGGATTCTGAGTCATGAAAGCATATCTGTATTTATACTTATATATGTATACATATATATATATATATATATATATATATATCAGTCATTCAGTCAAATAAACAAATGTGCCTCAGAGATGTCAACAGAACCTAGATATGTCCTTCTTCCAGGTAAATATTCTAACCAATATGCTCAGGATCTAACTTTCTTCATGTACTGCCCTGTCCTTAAATCTTGAATTCTTTCCCCATAATGTCTAGAGCTCCCATACAGGAATGCAACATTATGGGCTTAAATCGTATTCTTCCAAGAAATGCAACAGTATTTTTTTTCCATACAAGGTATAAATATATATTCCAAGTATATTTATTTTAATAATATTTTGTATGTGGTTCACTGTAAGGTATAAATAAATGATAGAAGAGATGAAGAATTTAACTGTGGTGTTACGTTACGCTCAGACTCTCAAAATTGTGTTCTATTTTTTCTTATTAGACTAGAATTGTTTTCTTTGTTGTGGAGAGAAAGAGGTGAATGACTCAGGGAAGATTGTAGAAACTTTCAATCATACAAGTTGGAAGGGACTTCTACTGGTCTTTTGGTCCAAACTGCTCATGGATGAGCCGATTTATGTCATATTGCTCAGGTTCTCTCCAGTCGATTTTCGAGTATTTGCAAAGATGGAGAATTCACAGACTCTCTAGGCATCTGTCCCAGGGCCTGACCACTCTCACCTTTTTCTTGTTCTAAATAACAGGAATACCCTCTGCTGTGATTTCTGTATTTTGTTTCTTATCATTTCTCTCTACAGCTCTGTCCCTCAGCCTTTCCTCCTATGTGCTCCAGCCCTTTAACTGTCATGGTTGCTTTCACTTGGACTAATCTCCAGCTTGTTAATCTGTCTCTGGTACCTGGAGACCCAGAACAAGGCATTTTTTCAGACATGCTCTTGCAAGATCTGAAGCAGAGCAGAAAATCACTCTTCTTGATCTGCTGGCCACTTTCTCTGTTGCCTGGTGGAGTTGGGCAGTCTTAGCAATCCTCTTTGCTAAAAATGTGTGGTGTTCAGATTCCCATTCAAAATCAGACTCATCATAGCTAATTCTTTTGAAACATTTGTACCAGGGTTTTTTTTTGTTGTTGTTTTGTTTTTTTCAGAAGTGGCATCATGAGCACTTCTAACAAATATTGCCAAACAAACAACAAAAAAGCCCAGAAAATCACAATTACATACAGCACGAGGAATCCCTTGAATCAAACTCTATAGATGTCAGATCTATGCTGTATCCATTCCTTCACTGGTAAAATAAATAAATAAATACATACATTAAAAAAAAAATCTTTAATAGGCTAGATAATGAAAGAATATTTATGTAATTTAGCACTCATGAATTTCACCAAACTATATTTATTGCTAGCAGTTTTAAATGGGCACTGAAAATACTGTATTATGAAGAAAAGGATCATTTCCGGTTATTGATCTGTGGTGTAAAAATGGTCAAGATTACACACCATCCTTCCTGGAGGTACCTTCTTTGGTCTGTCTTACATAGCTGCTGTTGTGTGTGATCACCTCCAAAGCCATTTGTTACCAACAGAGGCAAAGCAGATTACATTTTAAAAGTCAGGGATATAAGCCTGAGCATTAAGAGCAACTATGACATACTAGATCAAAGGTCCTTCTAGATCAATGTCTTTTCTCTGGCAGCAGACAATGACCAGTACTTAGAGAAGGATGGCCAGACTACAGCAAATATGACTTTACACTTTTTCTGGTAATAAGTGGAATATTACATTTAAAATTGTGACTTTCCTCTGCCAATTCATGGGCAGAGTTAAAGTGGAAAAAAAAAACACCTCTACTAGAGGAGAGGATGGAGGAGGAGATGAAGCAGTCTTGGTATTTTGGTGTGTGTGGATGAGTACCGAAGGGTGTTCTGGTAAAACACAGGACTTGGAAATAAGTCCAACTGAACTCCAAAAATGGGAAATAAACTGTTTTAACAAAAACGCACTTCATGTTTTGATAAGTCTGACTTTTGATAAGTATGACTTCTAAAATACATTTTCCTTGGATCTATCAATATTTTGCATGTGCTCATGTATCTATGTGTAGGTCTGCACAAGCATATGTATTATTTTTATCTCTCTCATATTCTACTAAGATTTATAACGTTTTCGTTGTAAAGTCAAAAGTGTGGCATCTGCGGACTCTTTCTACACTGGACAAACTGTGTATCATTCATTTTGTACAATTTATTTAAGCACATCTTGTGGCTGTGTTTGCATACAGGTCTGTCTAGCTGTGGAAAAAAAAAAAAAAAAAGTTTATTACTTAAAAATCCAGCACTAATTTTGCTATGGATGGTTGACTTTACAGGGGAGTTTGACACAGTACAGAGCCCCTCCACGCCAATCAAAGATCTTGATGAGAGAACATGTAGGAGTTCTGGGTCAAAGTCTCGGGGTAGAGGGCGGAAGAATAATCCATCACCCCCTCCGGACAGTGACTTGGAGGTATGCCTGCAGTAATTGATGAATGGTAATGTGGAAGTTTCTTCTGATGAAAAGTAAATTCTGAAAAGTACAGCTGTGGAAATAGCTTAAGGCACTTTAGAAAACATCATGGACTTGATGTCGCTAACTGAACATAACAGATATTAGCTGCTGTTTTAATATACATGTGTAATGAGACATTACAGTTCTGTATGACGAGGTAAGAAAAGTAAATGTGATTCAGCCTTCCACTTTTTAGCTCTGATTATGGGTCATTTAGTTCTTCATACAATAGAACCGCAAAATTGTGAGACTTGTTTATTCAAAATAGTCAGAGTTTCTTTCAGCTTTTTGAATAGGAAATCTCAAATAGGTTTCTCAGTGTTACTACATTTATTTATGAATGCAGTGTAAATATGCAGGATCATTTGTCCATAGCCTTTCAAGTAGTTATGAACAGACCTGTCTTTATGTTTTAACTAATGTCAGTGGATTTCAGTGATGTAGCTGACATGAGTAAAGTTATGACAGTACTTAAGTGTACTATTGATGCCTTAGTGAAGAAATATACCTGCCTAATATATGCAGGGATGATTTAAAAAATGGATGACCTCTTAACAATGGGGTAATTATAGTCTTAGTACTCCTGCATTAGCAGCATGCTAATGCAGGAGTATAATAATGCGGGAGAAGGAAGCTCAGCGCCTGCGTGTGTGTAACACTGACATTGGAGGAATGTGCTGCTCACCTGTCTGCTGTGCCTCCTGCCACCATGAGACAGGTGTTCAGAGTGGTTAGCTCTGGCCAGCCATGCTGCCTATGCCTTCACTGACCACTTCTGGGTACAGCAGAAAACAGACCTTTGCTAAGACTTGGCTAATGATAGTCAATGCTGGGGTGATAGGATAGGCTGCAGTGCAAAGCACTGAATTCACATGCCATGTACATTGCTTTTATACAGTAACTGTTATTAATATACATATTTTTAATCCTAAAATAAGATTTAAATCCTGTATGACATTCTGTGTGGCAGGTAGTACTTCTGCCCAAGACTTAATTCTTGCTATGCAGGAGAAAAGAAGAACCTTGAGTCACTAAGACTTGTTATGTTACTAAGAGGAGTATGTGAGTTTATCATTACGATAACTATTGCATTTGACCCCATCATGTTTCTGAAATCTGTGTTTAATTAATATTGTCTCCACTTTTTTTTTTCAGCGTGTATTTGTTTGGGATTTGGATGAAACAATCATAGTTTTTCATTCACTGCTTACAGGATCCTATGCACAAAAGTATGGCAAGGTATGTGATCCATGATTTCCGTGTTGATTCACTGTATCATAACTGTCTGGCCTGTACACCTAATGTGTTCATAATGGCTTCAGGGAAGGGAAGGTGTGTAGTAAACCCCATTTTCAGAAGGTTAACATGAAAAAGTCAAGGAGAGAAAAGAGATGGACTGTAAGCACAAAATACAAAGCAGTACTGAAGCAGATGTTACAAATGAGGGGAAAGTTTATAGAAGAACAAGGACAAGGTTCCTGAGCTACATTGGAACAGTCATTCCAGGCAGACAATGGATTCAGTGGGCAAATGGAAATAACTGACTGTATTTGGATGCATAGAGGAAAAAAGTAAGAAAACTGGAGGAAGAAATAAGAAAACTAGAATGATGGGTTTACAGGGAAACTGATGAATCAGGATGAGTAAGACAGACAGACCTGTTTAAATGCCGGCTGCAGATGTTATTCTTTTACTCCCCAGCTTTTCCATTGCATCTTCGGTCCCACTGGCTGACTCTAGTCTGAGTAATGCTAGGGAGTGAATCCCTCTCCCCACCAGACAGTTGCACTCATTCTCTTTCCTGCAAGGAGATCCAAAAGGCATTCAGGTCACAGAGCAGTGAGTGGGAAAGCAACAGGAAGAGGGAGGGAAGAAAAGAGGGAGAGAAGGAGGGAGAGGAAAGGAGCCACAGCCCACTGGATGATAAGGTGGAGTTGCCCTGCTGAGTCAGCAGGGAGTCCTGCTGGTGGCAGGAGCAAGGGGGAGAAGGGGCTGGGGGAAAAAACATCATGTAGCAGTGGGAGTGGGCTGCCAAGAAGGACAGAAGTTAATCAAACAAAAACATTAGGGCAAATGTATGGAAGGGAGAAAAATGGACATGAAGAATGTTGGTATGCATGCAAGAGGTTTACTAGGTGTTGTGCCATTAAAGAATAATTAATGCAAACTTATTTTTGCTTAAGAAAAGCTTAAAACTTAGACAAGCAGAAGAACTGCTTGTTTATCATAAGTTTCCTGCCTCTTTATCTCAGCCAGAATCAGATGCTTAAGAGAAGCCTGTGAGAAAGTACATTAGAGAAAAGCTTTCCACGCCCAAACTCCCCAGCCAATGGGTCAGAAATTTCCAAAGCCAGAACCTCCAGATTATAACTGCTGATGGGCCAGTCCTCTGTGTTTCAAGGCAGATATTTGTGGTTATAAAAAGAGAAAGGTAATAAAATACTCACAGACCCAGACAAAAATCTGATTTTCTGGATTGCTAAGTGTAATTATTCATGTCTTATACAAAATAGGCTTCCTTATGTTGCAACTTAACAGCCCTGTATCATTTCAGTACTCTGTCAAAAACTTCTGCTGTTTTTCAAACACAGAAACAACAACTACTTTGTCAGAACCATTTCTAATTTCTTATTAGCAAATCAAGAGAGAAACCTAGCTGAACATGAACATTTGTATAACTTTTGAGTATAGCCCACAGACTACCACAGAGCTTGCAGAATTGCCACAGTGATGCTGTCATTTCTTTCATCCGTGTTTGATTGTGCCCACAGGATGTTTCCATCTCATGCACCTCACATACTCTATTAGCAAAGTCTGAATCAACTATTACAAAGTTTTAAAAATCAGAGCAGATTTTTCTAACTCGCAAAAATTTATGGATAACTATAAACTGTCTCGAAGACAGCTACAGAAAAGTAATTCCTCTTGGATTCTTGCTTTTGTTATGAGTATGGATACTTGAAAAAGACCAGTGCCACTGGTCTTTAAGAACTCAGCTGTTACTATAATTGATTCTCCATACAGAGATGTTAGAAACAGTAAAGGCATATTAACAGCCAGTAGTATTGCCAGCAGATAAAGTTGGCTTGTATAAACCAAAAATATCCCAAGGGCACATGAAATTAATGTATTTATACTGCTGAGATCAGCATCAGTAAACAAATGTCATGGACAATCATGAAGTAAAAGGAGAGGAATTCTTAAGTAACTTTTTTTTTTTTTTGTACTGATAAGCAACATCCATACAAATAGGGAAATGTGTTCATTTCCAGGGACTGTAATAGAAAATTAGTAGTTTTTTGTTTTGTTTTGTTTTCTTTTCTTTTACCCTACAGTAACTACCTTTAACATATTTATAGAGAACGTAATGAGAAGGTACCAGTTAAACTGGAATATGTGTATTGCTGTCTGCAACAGTAGGATGGGGCAGTGCAAAAGGGAATACAAGCAGAGCTTATCATTAGTAGGCTTTAACTTTTGCATGTCATTGAAGTGTTGTCTAAACTTAAGATGGGATCTGTCTGAGCCTAAGTGCCTAAGAGGATAGACATAAGAGAATGAAAAGATAGCACAGCTGCACCTCAGTCAGCTTCTGGCGCATGACCTCTCTAGCAGATGTAGCCCTTATCATTCCTGCATATGATCTCTATCTATAAACAAGGTCTTAATTCAAACCAAGGTTATGAGAATTGGATCACTATGAGGATAAATAGCCCATGAATGGTGAAGTTCCCAGTGAGCACAGTGGTCTTTTGGAAGCGTTGCAGGTGCTACTTTTTCCTAGAAAGCCTGTACAATGAAAAATTCTTAGGGTACTACAAAATAACAATGATACTAAATTATATCTTTGTGATGATTTTTTCTCTGAATAAAAAAATAAAAATAAAATTAAAGGTGTGTAATATTAATAGATACTCAGTTGCACATGTGTATCTTTTCCATATTTATTTTATATTACTATTGGGTTTAAATATTCTGTATTTAAATATTCTAAATGAGATTAGAGATTCTTTAATGTGGGAAGGGAAGGAGTCTTTTTATACCAAGTGTGCTCACTTTGTACTTTAAAAGGGTGAAATGCTGTATTTAGGACCAGTGCAAATACACAGACAAGCAAGGATATTTACCCTCTCAGTTCTCTTATATCTATTTCTTGATGTGTGAACTTTCATTCTCCTTTTTCATTATGTCTTTACCTAATTTCTTCCAGTGAGCAAGGAAAAACAAAATATTAATAATAATAATAATAATAAAAATCTCACTTTTCTGTGCATTATAGAATGCATGGAGTGCAGTATGTGGGGTTGGTTGTCATGCTGTTATAGCTAGGGGGAGAGACCAGCAAATTGCTGCCTCTTACCTCAGCACCAGTAGAGCATAGCTTTGAACTCAACTTAAGCAGGAGAGATTTGGCCAGAGGCAGATCAATGTATCACTTTAAAATATCAAGATATTAAGTTTATCCAGAGAACGATTCTGTGTCTTGCTGTTTTCTACCTGTTGATGCTTCTGTCTGACTTTTGGTGTAGTGGTTATTTGATCACATTGGTCAGAATTAATATAAGGAAAGAATAAAAAATACCCTATACCTCTGTTAGGTTTCAAGGTAACTGTGCTGTTTCCCAGCATTGAAAGTACCTCTCATTGTTCACCTCATTTGCTCATCTGCCTCATACTTCATAAAATTAGTACATTGCTATTTTTAATTATTTACTGCAGTAGTAAATCATGAACATCATCATTTGAGCTGTTATATTATGACTTGTGTGGCTGATGATGGTTTTTGCAGCTGAGCACCAGTTGGCAGATACACTTTTCTACAATGCTGAACTCTTAAGTAAGGATTTGTTGATGTGACAGGACATGTGTTATATTTCATCATCTGTTAAAGTTTATGAGGTACATTCTTATTCCCTGTGAACAGCATATATTCTTTGTTCCATTATATTCCAGTTATTCTCAGTGATATAAGGCTGATTAAGCTGAATTTTTTCTACCTCAGAGCATTTATATTTCATTCATTTCCACCAGGTCAAACCAGAGGGCAAGGATGCACAGATAAATGTTGTGAGTTAAAGTGGAACTGGTAAAAACAAATAGTATGAAAGTCCCTCATACCCTTGGGAAGATGAGAATGTGATCTCCAAGTGCCAAAATCAAAACCAATCCACACTTCATGATCACATCCTGACATTTTTTATAGAATTGCAAATGCCAGGAAGTTGTCAGGGAGACCATGTTAACCTTGTAGACTTCTCTTGAACAGGCTCCGAAGGTTTTTATTGCTCACATACTGCTTCTCTAGTCATTAAACGGAAAAACTTTGTCACTATTAGCACACATGTTGACACTCTCAAATTCACTCATGAACATGCTTTAGTTCGTCTATATTAATCATGTATCTCTCATGACTTCCAGTTGTGCTCTCCATTCACTCCCTCATTGTCTGAGACCTCTGAGTCCATTTTCCTACTGCCTTCTGGAGAGCACGGAACAGAAACTCCTTGTGGAGTACGTGAGTTGTCCTTCATCAGCCACCAGATATGGTTATTAAGAGATGTATTCTCTTTCTCCATTACCACTTATGTGAAACTCTTCAGGAACGAGTATCCCCTATGAGATTGTGAGAGCTGAACTTAAATCTGGGATTCCTATGTAATGTAGGGAAGTGTCTTTAAACTAAAAAATATTAGTATATAAGTTAAAAAATTCTACTTTTTTTTTTTTTTTTTTTTTTTTTTTTTTTTTTTTGTTCCAGGGGTCACTGCTGCTGTTGTAAGTCTGTCAGGGACAGCCATCCATTGAAAATCTATTATTATAACATTATTCATATATTTTACTTGTTTGATTTCTTGCTTATGTTTAATGCTTCGTGCATACAAATTCCTCTCAGAATAAATCTACCTGACTGCCTGTTTACCTACTTGTCATGTGAGGCTTTGTATAAAATTCTTTGCTATGTTTGTATTTTATTTTTCCAAGAAATGAAGTTATTTTTGAACATCTTGTGCTGAAAACCGACCTTCCAAAATAATATTAAATAGTTTTCTTCCAATAATGACCACTGAGCTTTTGGGGCTTCATTCAAGCCACTTTTCTCTTGGTCAAAACGTATAAATATTGGTTGTCCCAGGATATTTTTACCTAGTCTCCCAGGAGGCATTCTAGTGGATGGACCAGTCTAGTAGAAAAGTCCAAAGGCAGACAGTCTGGCTCCAGTTTAGTGCCTTCAAAATAATGTAACTAAAGTGGTATTTTGGTATACAGAAGTGCCATAGCTGGTCCTGTTTCCTTTGCATGCTAGTGATATCTGGCTAAAATCAGATGGCCCCTCTGAGGGCCAAAGAGTTATGCTGGTTTATTCTGCAAATTATCTGGGTAAAACTTCCAGATTTGTTTTGTTTAGTTTCTTTATTATTATTTATTATTATTATTAATTTCCTCTTTAGTATGTGCTTATGCAGAGTAGCACAAAACAACATTTTGGCAGAAGTTTAGTCTGCCTTTCATTTAATTTCTCAGTTTGCTGTGCTTGAATCTATATCAGCTGCATATTTCTCTCTTTTCAACTCAGTTCTTTTTGCCACTTGAGTCAGTCTGCAACTCCTGCTTTGAGTTGAAAGACAGTAAAATAAAGATTGGGATGTTCCTCCACATTCTGCAAACACTTTAAAACCACAAGACACTGATAAATCTGCTTCCTCTGTTTATTTTTCTATGTGAAAGGATGGACTTACATGGCAAGAGCTGGAACTTGATGTCTAATTCTTGTTAAACAGTTGCAGTGCATGTTTGTTCAAATTTATTCAAGGAGGAATTGTTCCTGCCTTGAGATTTCAATTCCAGTGACTCTTCTTAGTAGAAGTTGTTACAGGGAGATCCCAGACTGATTTCATGCTAAGCTGAAATGAAGTCTCTTCGTTTTATTTTATTTTACATATAGTACCTGGCAATATCCTACACATGCCTTTGTCAAAACAGGAATGTAGGAAATCTAATTTTAACAGTAATAAAGTCAGGCATAGTTGGTTACAAATGTTCTACTAATAAGAAAATAATAAAAGCTATGTCATATTTATATCTTTCAAGTATACTAGGCAAAGCAGGAAATTGTGATACATATTTGGTAGTTTCTGTAAAAATAAATTGGATTATAATGGAATATGTTATAGCATATTTCCTCATTTCACTCCACTTCTTCCCAGGAAGGAGAAAAAAAGAGGCTGAGAATCAGAAGTTTAAGATTCCAGTCTTGGAAGCACTCCAGTGAGTAACTTAACTCACATAAATAATAATGAGTTACCACCTGTGCATAAAGTTATGCACATACCTTAGTGTTCATAGGACTAAGGCAAAAAAACATTGCAAAAACTCTTTATTATATTGTATCTAAGGAGAAAAAAAAATAATCATAATTTACTGTGCACAGAAGAAACTGCAAGGGAAAGGAGAGAGGAACACGTGTATACATGATGACATTTTGATAAAAGCATTATGGCTTGATGAGGAATCTCATGAGTCCAAAGTATTTTTATGATTTGTGTTCTAAGTATCTTACATGATTTTTTGCAAATCTGCTGACGTGCGTTCTTTAATCATCCCTTTGGAAAACTGACCTTTACACTTGCTGCTGCCTTCACCCACATGGTTTTCAGATCCAGTGAACATGATTGCAGAAGACGTATGGGATGAAGTTACGTTACTAGGCACTGCCTTTGGTTTTTACTTCTAAAAGATAGTCTAGACCAGTTCAAAGGTCAATATAAAAATATTTCCTTTCAGTGCCAGAGCATTGTATCTAACTTTGGATCATTACAATTTCTTACACGCTATTCTCCTCTTCAAGTCTGACTTTTTCATGAGCAAGGGTCAAAATATGTCTATGTTTCAGATTTTACCATTAGTTTTTTAAGTGCTTCAGGGCAGAAGCCATCTTTTAATCTGTCTTTGTGAAGCCCTAGAGTAGCAGATGTATGATCCTGATTGGGAAGCCTTTGATCCTAATACTAATGAATGATCGTTTGAGGTTTTGAATGGGGTGGTGGGTTTTTTTACTTCTTTTTTCTCTTCTTCTTCTTTTTTCTTTTTCTTTTTTTCCAGATGGGAACATACTGGTAAACTTTTAGACTTGTAATATTAAGGTATTAAAAAAAAAAAAAAGATTTCTAAAAACTCACAAGTGTCAATCACTTTAAATTATGAAATTTAGATTTTTGTTCTTGTTTTAATGAGAAGAGTATCATAACCACTTTTGAAAAATATTGTAGTATCTTAAGTGTAAAATGTTAGCTGAACCTCACAAGCTCAGGCAGATGATTAAGGCAGTGGAATAAGTAGTTACCAGCTGTCAGGTAGGCATCAGAAACTGTCCATGTGTGCTCTTATCCTTAAAGAAACGTAAGATGATGTAATTTTTCTCAACCTCTTTCCTAGCAAGCCTAGCAAAATCAAATTAAATGCCTCACATTTGCTGCGCAATAAAGTTTCTTAGACAAACATTTCAAAACAGGAAATTTTTGTATCTTGCTGAAGGTAGCATGATTTGATAAAATGAAAGCTGACCTACAAACAAATAGAAACATTTTGAATGAATCCCATCCAGGGACAGGAATCTTGTTTTTCAAAATAAGTGAAGAGATTATCTGTAACAAAATCAAATTTGCATATGCTTTCACATTACTGTAGAGTACCTTAAGAATTGTGCCATAGATTGTAAACATACTTAAGAATACTTAGAAGATGCTTGCAGGAACTTCATAGAATACCTGCAATAAAACCATACACGAGATCCTGGGAATTCTCCTGTCTGCACAGGAGAACAGTACATATTTAGACCGGAAAGGACAAAGCACAGTGAGGATGCATATTGGAGCAGCAGAGTTTAGGGAAGAACTTATATACACATAAGCAGAGGTAAGGCAGTGATGATTTATTTATTTGAAACTCAGTCTGGGGAAATGGACAAGGGTTCAGACTGCCTTTTGTACTTTTTAAAAACAGAAACATTAGAAATTGAAAAGGCCACATAAACCATACCTTCCTATGGTTATGATAATCCTATACCTTCCTATGGGTAGGATAATCAGTTACAAAGAAATCACAGTGGTAGAGGTAAAATACCTTTCCTAATCCTGTTTATCATGGCTTTGTTGAGGACTTCTATGTATCCAAAAATTGTGAAGATAAGCTAAGAGGCCAGAGGAATTGTGTGGTGGACTGGGTATCACATGGAATAATTTTGTTCCAGCCTCTGCCATGTACATGGGCTCAGAAAAATCAGTTACAGCTTCTTGATTCTTTTTTCTTCTGCCCACAAACTGACAATCAAGGTACTTATATATTTTTATAAAAGACTCAGGGATGAAAAATATAGCATATTTTTTATTTTAATAAATATATATTTTCTCTTAGGTATATTTAGTGGAAAGTACCCTGCCTGTTTACAGCCTTATTTATGCAGGTTTACACAGGGCCACCAGATTTTTCCCTTTGCCATAGTTTAGCCAGGTTACAAAAGTCTCAGCATTCAAAAAAGATGATTCAACATACCCAGTTCCCCGAATGTTTTCACACAGGTTCAGCAAACTCTTCTTGTAGTGTTATACTAAAATAGCTTAATACTGAAAGGATTTTAGAGAAATTTGTTGCAGTGTTATTTTTCAAAATACTTTGTATATAACATTTTTTAAAGTCATGATGTAACTTAAAGGTATTTAAGTAGCTAACCTTGATTTCTGTTTTTTAAGGATCCACCAATGGCAGTGACCCTTGGACTACGAATGGAAGAAATGATTTTTAATCTTGCTGATACACACTTATTTTTTAACGATTTAGAGGTAAGAATTGAAGGAATATAAATGCTGTTATATCTGGGGTTTTGACACAGCGGTTTTGCTGTGCATTACTGTTTGTTATGTGTGATGCCATATGCCTTTCCAGACTTCGGATTTGTCATATGCTAATCAGAGAGGTGTTAGCCAGGTGGCGGTGAGTTTCTGTGGCACCAGACTCCTTCCATGACATGTGTAATCTGCAAACTACACCTTCCTCTCCAATAAAGATCTTTCTCCTATGGCCATCTTTTCAATGCCTATGGATTTAGATTTTTCTGCAGTGATTTCCAGGAGAGATGTAAGTGTCTCCCATTCTTTCTCTTGAAGTTCTCTACATTCGCTTTGAGGGGGTGGCATCATCTGATCTAAGAGACTGCACTATTCTCTTCACACTCCTGAGTATCCTTTTGGCCATCCCTTCTTGCCCAAAGATAGAATATTCTTCATTTATCTCAAAGACCGCAACATTAGTGAACTGTGACTGTGTCATCTCCAATGCTGTAGAAACTGAGGTCACATCTCAATTTTCTTCTTACCACCAGTGTCCAAACCTTTCTATTAGAATATAGAAGCTTATGTGCAGGTCATCTTCTCCTCTTCTCTACCCCCTGAAGAATACTGTGAGTTTCAAGTGAAAGATTACAGACAGGAATGGCTCATTCTGGAAAATGCCAAAATGGTTTATGGAATAAAAATTAAGGTTTATGGAATAATAAAGTCTCTATTTCCATATAAACTAACAAAGAGGCCTTTCTGAACTTAGTTAAGAAATTTCTGGATTTATTTATTTTTTTGTTAAAAAGACTAAAGAACTTGTAAGCATTGAAGAGAACAGTTATTTATAAATTTTGTGAGTCTAAAGATTCAAAACACCATTTATACATCTGATTCAATTCCATACTTTTTTGGTTACCTTCCCAGTAATTTAATTTATGACCCTGTATTCCTTTCAGAGACTTTGAGTAAGCCATGATCAATAACACAACTACATCTTTGTTTAGGTTCTTCACTGTCCCATGCACTTGGGAGACACTCATCACCAGGTTTCTGGAAGTATTACAGATAGAAGTTTGGTCAATCCAGACATTGTCTCTGCATATCAAATCCTGTTGGGTATCAAATCCTTTACTATCTAGCTTGTAGATTTTTTTCATCTTTTACTTATTTATTTCCCTTCCAGATAAAAGGGGAAAATCTGGAGAGAAGTTCCCATGCAAAATTTTAGATCTGGCAGGCTTTCAAATATCCAGAATGTAGTGTGTCACATCCTGACAATGTGGAGCCTCCTGGTTGCCCACGTTTTCTTCCTGAGGTAACCAGGAGACCACACGTTTTGTCACAACATACCCAGGGTGTGCCACTTGGCATCTGGTCAGAAAAGGGAGAGGCTTGTTCCTGGGGAGCAACCACTGGGGATCACTTGCCTGTGGGAAGCACGCAGATGGACAGCCAAAGGGACAACTGCCTGGGGAGTGGGCCCATCGGCAGTGCTTCACAGACATTTCGTTTCTCTCCAGAAGTCTGTATGTGCTAAAGTGGAATGTGGCAGCCTTACAGCTGTGTTTATTTATCTCTTTATTTATTTTGTGGAACAGACAGTGGATGAAAAACAGCTCTTAAATTGAACTGCAGACTTTTCAGACCTTCCCCTCACCTAAATCAGTTGTTGTCTTAGTCACAGTGGATCCCTGATTTCCCTCTGTGTACAGATATTTCTCCACTAACAGCAGGTGGAAGACTTTGAGGTTTTGTGTAAAATGCTAGAGAAAGGTCTTTGGTGAATGAATACAAAAAAAAAAAAAAAAAAAAAAGAGAGAGATTTTTTCATTCACTGGGCTGTTGTTTTTTCTAGCGTGCACTTTTGTTCCTTTGTCAGCTGTGGGCAGTGGGAAAAGCACCACGCTGAAGTCCTTGTCGTGCCCTGCAGACCTTACTTGTTCTCAGCTCTTTTCATGTCAAGAAACTAGGATCTACTTCACCCTATATCTGCACTGTACTTCCTCTTTCCAGCAGCAGAAACATAAGACAGTAAAACCCTGGATATGCCTTCACCAGTCGGTGTTTTATTGCAGTCTAAGTGAGTCATCACTTGACAATGCAAGTGCATTCAGTGAATGTTCTCTTTCTAGTGCCCTGTACCAGGGATAGATTCCAAATCAATTTTTCAAAGCATTGCTTAAATTTCTTTTTAGCAGACCTTTGCCCTTGCATGTTCAGATTTCATGTGACACCCAATGAACTTTAAGCCTTTCAGTAGCATGTGCCCAGATTTCTTCAAGCTTGTGCTGCATTCAAGAGGAAGAGTTCAGCAAAATGGATCTTTGACCTCTTTATATACTTTATTCTTGGTTATGGCCATTGAAGCTTCATTCCATTCTTTATTTATTTTATTTGTAGATCTCCAATTCAGCTTTCATAGGTGACTCTCAAATCTGAGTCATCATCTTTTGTATATTCTTCATAGAATGGTTTTAATATCCTGTGTAAAAATTCATACACCAGTTCATTCCAGAGCTTGAACATTACCCTGATAGTTTTCAGTTTTAGATAAATCAAGAAAATGTCCTTGGGGATGCTCTTTTAAAATTTCGTAATCAGTTTGATTTATTAGATTTGATTACATTTCTATATGCAATTAGGTCTTTTCTAGCTTGGAATTCAGCTTTGTTTCAGAACTATTATAAGATTACCAAAATTCCAAGCTTTTTACTTTGAAGCATGGCATCTTGTGCCGAAGTACATAGATGCATCCTTTAATACTGCAGATGATTAGATCTGTCTGTTTAAACACGTTTGCAGAGCACATGGCCATTTCTAAGCACTAAATATTACAGTGTATCTACACGATGACCAACTGAGAATTCCCCAGTTACCCAGTTCTCTTTCTCTCTCTGCTTTCCTTCCTCCATCCTCCCACAGGAGGAGGGAGGTAGGCTATGATCTTGGTGATGATCTGCTGATAGTCATTGTCATCAAGACATGAGACCTTCAGTTCTCACTGGATATATGTTTTTCTTTTTTTATTTTTTTTCAGTAGACAGATTATTGAGATTACTTATACTTTCTTCATCTCTCTTTTCTAGTGCTGAGCCATTAGGTCTCATACCTTCTGCCTTGCTTTCATTTACATCCCACAATAAACCATGTCTCTGGATTTGGCAATTGTAATGTACTAGTGAATTTATATTCCTTTGTATTCCTTTATATTTCAGTCACAGCATCTTCTAGGCTCCCCTTTTTTCTCTTTCTGTCTAGGTTACAAGCACTGCATACCAAGGTTTAGTAATAACAACCAAGTTATTGGAAGTTATCACATACAAAAATAAAGTTTTCCTTCCTTTATGCAAATCTGTCTCACTACAATGACTGCTGATGCAGAAATTCCAATCTGTTGAGACATTCCCCACTGACCCAGTAACCCATGTCCTAATCAGCCAAGCTGCAGTTTTATTTCAGCCTAGGCTGTTCTCCAGCTATTTCATTCTCAGTGTATAAATTTTAGTTAGTTTGAGAAGTATCACTTGGGAGGGCAGTTGGTATTTTGCCATGAAAATAGGAGTCTGGTGCTCTAGAAAGTTCATGTGCCTAAACAATGTTTAGAGCTGGGACTAAGATCAGTAACAATAGCCAGAGTAAAGCATTCTGTTCTCAACCAGGTAAGGAATAGAAGGAAGTTTTTGTTCTTATCTCAGTATTAATTTTAAGGCAGCTTTTAGAAATATTGATAAAACATGCTATGCACACCCACAAAACAGTTTCTACAGTTTGCAAGCATGAATTTGGACATGAATCTTCCAACTCTATCATCAGTGTAAGAAAAGTATATTTATTTCAAACAGACTGAATTACATTTCCATTTATATCATAATCGTATCATATTCTAAGGAAGGTTTTGTTTTGTTTTGTTCTGTTTTCTCATGAGAAATGGAAATGAGGGAGAAAAAATAGATATAAATAAGTCCTAAAACTTGGGAGGCAGGTCAAACTGTTTTTAACAGAAAATGAAGCAAATACATAAAAAGGGAGATTTCTGTATAATCTGAGAAAGCATAAAATATTCAACACGAATATTTTAAGGGTGATTTGTTGATTCTGCACTCTCAAATTTTCAGTCTCTAAAACTTGCTGCAAAGAACTGACTGCTCTGAGATATAATTTAAATTGGTACTGCTTCAAGCAAAAGCCTGTTATTATACCTAGATTCCTATCCTGTACACTCAGTATTATGACATATATTTTTCTTTCTTAGTTTTGACCTTGCACTGACTTGTGACTTGAGTATAGTCAATACTGTAGCTGCTGTGAAAAGGATTTCACTTTAACATTGACAGAGATCTTTCCTTTCCTCCTCCCCTCAACTATTTGGTCTCTTTTACAAGCAATTCAGATTTAGTGTTGTGCCACCAGTTGATGAGAACTACCTCCACTCTGCTTAAGCTGCCTGCTTTTCCTTTTTCTTTTTCTTTTTCTTTTTCTTTTTCTTTTTCTTTTTCTTTTTCTTTTTCTTTTTCTTTTTCTTTTTCTTTTTCTTTTCTTTTTCTTTTCTTTTTCTTTTCTTTTCTTTTTCTTTTCTTTTCTTTTCTTTTCTTTTTCTTTTTCTTTTTCTTTTCTTTTCTTTTTCTTTTTCTTTTCTTTTTCTCTTTCCTTTTCCTTTTCCTTTTCCTTTTCCCTTTCCTTTTCCTTTTCCTCTTCTTCTTCCTCTTTCATCTTTTTCTTTTCTTCTTTTTTTTTTTTCTTTTTTTCACCCCAAGTAAAATGTAATCATTTTACTTGAAGTTGATGAAGTAAACAGGACAAAATAAAATGATGCGAAAAGTGGGGGGCACATGAGTTTACTGTTGGTCAGCAAATGAGTATTGCCATATTGCTTAGGAGGTGAGCAATAGATCTTAGGGGAGAAGAGAAAGGGGAAAAAGGAGGAAGGTACGGGATGTTGTTGATTTAGATCCTTTCATATGGCTGAAAACTTAGCAACTTTATTTCAGGAATAAGAGGCAAACAATCATGTTTCCTTCTTCTTCTGTTGCTGAAGCCAATGAAAAAATTGTTAGATAAAAAAGTAAAAGTGAACAGCTGAGCCTTTGCCACCCACTCGTATTAAACTTAATTAAATTGTCAGTGGAACAGTTATCTGTAATTTTCAAGGCTGGAACAATATAGCTGAACAGCTTAACAAAACCCAAACAGCACAGGAAGTCCTTCTTATCCATGAAGACTTCTGTGTACTCTCCATTTAATTAGTACATGTTCAAATACACAGGACCATTTTTTAAACTTCTAGAACTATCTCATGCTTTGACCAGCTCCAGTGTAATCAGTCAAGGTGATTAGGAAACCAGATGCTGCTCAGATATTGAAAAATATCAAGTTAGATTTTTTTTCCCAGTGGGACCTTTCATCTGATTTTTGAGCTTCTTTTCCACACTGGGTGGAGTCCAGTTGCTTTTTTTTTTTTTTTTTTTTTTTTTTTTTCTTGAGTGTAAATAATAAATTAGGATAAAGGAATGAATCTTTTATTTCAGCTGTCACTTCCCTTTTTCTTTCTCTTTTCATCTGCTATTTACATCCAAAAGCACCTTCTTTAAAATATTCTAAAGCTCAAGCTAATCTTCTTAGACAAACCAAAAACTTCTATTTCTCCAGTGGGGAGAAGAATGATTCATTTTTCTTCCTTGAATGCAGGTCTTTCATGCTTGTCTTAATGTGTTAAGCTGAGCTCAATTTGGCCATTAATTCTTTTAGACTTGGTACATACTTTTTAATTATGATCACTTGTATTAAAATGAAGTATGTGTTTATTTTATACACAAATTGCTATTTTTTTTAACTTCATGTGGATAAAAGTCTACTGATGTTTTCATTCAGGGAAAAGCAAACAAAGTTTTAGACAGAAATGGTAGTTGCTTGCGAGAAATATTGTTTGAAGTAGATGACTCAAATGACTATTTGAAGCATTAAACTGTTCATTTTGAAAGTGCAGCTTCTTTGTCTTATGGTGAGACTAAATTGGAAAACACTAGCTGAGGAGTCATTTGTATGTAAATACATCCTTGAACTTTTTCATAAAAAAATAGGATTATGTTAATAACAGCTATTTTAATTTTAATTTTTATTTTTAAAAATCACTTCCATACAGTAATGTAAAGTCTCTGAATACTGAATTTCCAGTGTGTCTTTGGGGTAGGTTATTGCTGCTAGCAACTACAGAAATTAGTAATACGATTCCTGCTTGTATTTACTGTTGCATGGTGGCTTGAGTTTTTTATTTATTTGTGCTTCTCCTGCATTTTCCTATCTTTCTCCTGTAACTTTTGTGCAGAAAATGATATTTAATAGCTACCCAATCATAAAAACAGACTGGGGGGGGGGGGGGGGAAGGGGGTGGCGAGTGGAGGGGTCAGGTTTTCAATGTACCTCAGTTCCCAGGAATTACTTCCATCCCTTTTGAAACCAGGAAATAGTCAAGTTAGTCAAGTTCTCCAGGACCACTTGATTGTCTGCAATTTCCCAGCCACAATCATTTGGATAAATCAAGACAAGAATCTGATAAGCATCCAAACTCCAAGACACTCAACACAAATTACATGCCTTTTAAGGTTCATCATCACTAGCTTTTAGAGAGCAGGGGAATAAGCTTACAATGATTTTGGACTATTGGTGTGCTACAGAGACTACAGGAGTGAATTGTAATTGTCCTTTTTTCAATTTAAATATTTTTTTATGGAAAGTCACACTAAAATTACAGAGCACTTTTCTAAAGGCCTGTTTTAACTGATAATTTATACAGCACAGGAATTAAAGGTTGTATTGTTTTAAGGAAATTGATGGTGGTAAAAAGCTGTAAGTGTGCATACACTGCCATCTTCTGGTTTAGTTAGTGGCCTGCAACGATCATATTTTCATCTGTATTGAGCATATGGTGAACACATTCTCCTTTAAAATAATTTATCATTTGATGTTTTTTTTTTTTCAACAGGAATGTGATCAAGTTCACATAGATGATGTTTCTTCTGATGATAATGGACAAGACCTAAGGTAAGATAGAGCATTTACTTTTTCTTTTTTATTTTTTTTCTTTAAAGATTAAATACATTAAGCATTTACAGGAGTACATTGTATTTATTTTTACTGTATTTTGGGTGTTTGCAGTACCTACAGTTTTGCAACTGATGGCTTCCATGCAGCTGCAAGTAGTGCAAACCTTTGTCTGCCAACAGGTGTAAGAGGAGGGGTTGACTGGATGAGGAAGCTGGCTTTCCGTTACAGAAGAGTAAAAGAGTTGTATAATACTTACAAGAACAACATAGGAGGTGAGTTTAATTGTCACAAACAATTTAGAATGCTGGTCGGGTTCAACTTCATGGCAATGAACTTTTGCCAAATGAAATTGCCTTGCAAGCCACAGAAGTGAATAGAAAATTACTTGACTGGATCTTGAGCTATTGAAAGTCCCTGACTGTACGGACAGATCCAACATTGTGCTGTTGTGCAGGAGAACCAGAGATGGAGAAGCAAGGCAGGCTTCCATTTTATTTGCACAGAGGTCCCTTTTCTCCTTCAGATCTAGATTAGTTGTACCTACATCCTCCTGACTTACTTTTGGTAAAGAGACACTTATTCTACATCAAACAAGTTGTTACTCTAGGAAAGAGGTTGTGTAATTTCCACAGTACAAACTACTTCTGGCTGGTCTTCTTTTACATCCTACAATTTCTTGAACCAGTTGGTAACAACATACTTGCTGCTTAATTCTCTGCTCTGCACCTGCTAGTCTGTTTTCTCTAGTGGATGCAAAAAAAACTCTAACATTGCCATACCACTAGTCCCTTTTGTTAACTCTATAGCATACACAGTTAATTTTGTTTGCAAGAAATCCACTTTCTTTTGGGACAGGAACTCTTCTCTTACTAGTTTCATTCATGTACTCACTCATGTAAGTGCCAGCAAGCCTTTAAGAAATCATAGCAGCCTAGTGGCAAGAATCTGTCCTAGAGAGTCCTGTGCAACTTGCAGAGGCCTCTTCTGAGGAAGGAAATAGGTCTACCTCAAGAAGTCCTAATCAATAGGACTACCTCAAGAAGAGACTGAGAGAATAGGGAATATTTCTAAAGCCACAGTTGAAGATGAAACAAGGCCAATCCAACCAGGAAGCAATCGAAGTGAACACTCTCCCATTCAACAACATAGACTTTTTCAACTCAGATGAAATTTATTTCAGAGCAACCTGAAACTCAAGGGAAATCTCACCTTCAGCAAAACTAGCTTGGTGTTCTTTTACTATTGCTTGCCCTTTCTCAGAAATGGGTAGCAGTCTACTAACATGGACAGTGAATTAGTCGTTAGCTTAATGATTTTCTAAATTACCTAAATCTGGCATATGTATATTTTATGTTTAGTAGTTCAGAGTCTTTAAATGCCACAGGATAAAGCAACAAGAGCAAAGGGTAGTAATAGTTGGACGGCTTTTAATTGTTCTGCCTTGCCCTTCATTTATGTCATGAATGGAGTTTTTATATATTAAGAATACTTGAATCATTAATATACATAGGTTTACTAAGTTTTTCTTATAGAATCTCCTAATGCATCCAAGATTGAAAAAATCCAAGATTGGTTTGAAAAATATGTACTTTTTAGAAGTACACTTTGAACATAGTCATGTATACTGAATATATGAAAAATAATAGGATGATGTTTTTTCATATTGTGGTGAAATGTAAAATTGAAACAAATAGCAAAAATATATACATTCCAAGTAATACAGAATTTAATTTTATTTATTTTCTTGCTTTTTTACATAAAAGGACTCCTGGGACCTGCTAAAAGAGATGCATGGTTGCAATTAAGAGCAGAGATTGAAGCTCTGACAGACTCCTGGCTAACAAATGCACTTAAATCATTATCAATTATCAGCACAAGGTATGTATTGAGTCTACTATTAAAAATATATATATATATATTTTTTAGCTTTGGATATGCAATGTCTATTTCTGACATTTTAGGTTACAATGCACTAGTACGTTCAAAGAACAGTATAAGGCTAACATGACTTTTGAACAGGACATAGGAAAGATTCTACGGAAATTGATTTCATTTTCTGTGATTCCAGCATTTACTAGTATGAAAAGTCTTTCAAAATGTGGTATATGTTCCTGTGTACATTGAAAGAGTATTTTAAAATTGTGAGCCACCCTTTATTATCTTGCAGGCAACATCCTCTGAACTCCAGGTTTCTGTTCTGGGCTTCAATGTTCATGCCTATTTGCAGTGGTACCTAAATACTATATAAATCCCAGAACACAAAATCATTTTCTTTCAGTTGTTCCAAATTAATCAGTATGATTAAGCATATATAAAAGTTTTCAGAAGAATTAATATCTTTGTTTGATGCTACAACTGAGATAAAATTCTGGGTTCCCAGTCATGAGACATAAAATCAATTGTTCTTCTGAAGTAATAAAGCTGTGAGCAATGCTGCTGATTACTCATTTAATATGTATTTCAATATTAATATGTATTTCATTAGAAATTCCCCCCCCCCCAATAAAAATGGTTTAAAACTGTAATGTAAGAGCAATGTTAAGCCATCTTGCCTTCTGAATAAGTCTGGGAAAAAGCAATCAGCATTAAATTAAAAGAGCAAACATGAAAAGATGCTGAAAATGACTTTAAATGTAATTACTTTTGCAATAAGCTTCTCAGCCATTCTTTATTTTTTTAACAGTCTTAAGCACCTCAAGAAAAAAAAAAAGTTAAACAATTTTTTTTTAACAAAAAAATGTTAAATGAAAATTGTGTACGCTACCATATGTAGCTCTGCATTTCTTTCCAAATTGCTAATCTTCAGAAAAACACTGTATAGTAAAGATCCGTTGAGCTTTCGAAGATGAATTTGTTGGAAGAGTTATCACTTGCTCGGTTAAATAATAGTCTTTTATCTTGTCTCAAAGAATTGTACAGTTATAAATCTTCAGAAAATATACCCATGAGGCAGCTAAACATTACCTAAATGTTACTGACAGGAAGCTGAGATACATTAACACAGAAATAGCACCCTGTGGTCTTGCTTGGAGCTTTTGGAAGGACCAGGATCAAAAGTCACAACTAGTGGCTCTCAGCTCCATGTTCACATCACAGTCATACTGTTGTTGTGTCTGCAATGGCCTGGCCTTCAGTTTTCTGTTGTGTAAAAGCTAACTCAGCTTCTCCATTCAACTTTTCAACCACTCCATTCAATGTTATCTTCTCTCCCTTTTCTCAGAAAAACTCTTATTCTTGAAACATGAAGAAAGTGATGTCAGTGTGCAGAAATGTATACTGGCCATTTATTTTCCCTCAAGACAGGAGTAACAAATGGTATTTCTTCTTTCTCCTAACACTTCAGTTTGGCTGGTAGCTAGTGCCAAGTAATCACCAGCAGGAAAATGATGCTTTGAAGTCATTGAGACGTCTATTCTCAGAGGCAGTTAGTGATCTTATATGTCTATTTCAATGGACTCATCTTCAAGGACCTGGTTTTCATAAATCAGCATGGAATACTTCCTGCAAATCATGCCAACATAAGTCTTAAAGGATTTTGCCAAAATGTTTATGTATATTTTTCTGGAAGTGATGGTGCTGAATAGCAAAACCCTGTGAGTGAAAGTAAATGTAGAGGAATCTTGAAAATATGCTCTACAGCTGGTTCACCTCATCAGCATTTGGGTAATGATTTTAAACTATTCAAATTTAAATTATTTCTCTCTTTTTAGGAGTAACTGTGTAAATGTGTTGGTAACAACAACCCAGCTTATCCCAGCACTTGCAAAAGTCTTGTTATACAGCTTAGGAGGAGCTTTTCCTATTGAAAATATTTACAGTGCAACCAAAATAGGTAAGAAAATTATTCTTTTATCTATTCTGACTACACTGCATTATCAATAATTCTTTGTCTGTATTGAATGGATTCAAAACAACTTACTCTTACATTGTTATTTAAAACATGCATGTTTAAAGTTGTTTATGTCAGTAATAATCCAAATTCAGCTTCCTTTTGGTTATTCCCAAAGGCATAAAGTTTCCAATACTGAATAAAAGCCTCAGAAACAGAAGCTTACCTGCAATCATAGTATATCACTGAGGGTAATGAAAACTGGTACCAAAAGAAGCTGGGCTGATGGATGCCATATCCTATTGCTAGCATACAACAGAACAGGCTTGTGTAAAGTTTGGAAATTCATGGCATTTGGAAATCAGATCCCAAATTGTCTTGCAGCATAAGAAAAGTTACCATTCTTGTGAGATATGACACAGCCTACAATGACAGATAATTTTGGCAGGTTTTGTGATTTACGATTTATTAATGTAAGAATGCTTAATTTCAATACCTGTGATATCTCGTATAACAAGGAGATTGACACTTCATTTACAAAAGTATTACAATTCATCTCCTTAATGATTTTCACAAGTGAAAAAGCTTGTGAAAAGAAGTTAAAAACTAAAAATATAAAGTGTCAGGAAAATCAATTATCTCCATTACCTGTTAATTAGCTTTAGCTCATCCCTTGACACAGAAATGCCTCGAATCCTTTAAAAAAAGTCAAGGCACAAAGTAGCCTCAAAACAACATAACATTGAACAGCCTCTGGAATTAATGTCATCTGTCATACAGCCTGTATATGTTGGCTTCAGTTATTGAGATTGCACTCAGGCCAAAGGAAGGAGCATTATGAAATCACGCCAACATTGTGCCAAAGGGGGTAGAGAGTGAAGTAAAGTCTTTGGAGGCTCTGTGGAAGGAGTCCTGCACCATGATTTCCTTCCTAACAGCAGTGTGGATAGAGTTACATCCACATCAGGAACACGCAAACTCTTTTGAGTACAAGATCTACTTTTCATCTCAGTGAACTCTGCACTATGCTGAGCACAGGAAAAAAACTGTAGTTTTTGCTTGCACATAATGAAATCTCATCCTCGTTCAACAGTTAATACGTGCAACAGTTTTTGCAATCATAACCCTCTTCCAGCTGAAAAAAAAAAAAAAAAAAAAAAAGGCAAGAGAAGAGCACTATGAATCATAGATCTAGAACTAAGGAGCTTGTGAGAAGAAACTGAAAAGCCTGGGGCGGGGTTTAGGGTATGTGGAGAGGACATACTAACAAAGCAGGTATGAAACTATTGCAAAGGGGAAAGAAAGAATCTTTCTCCACACTGATGGGAGGTATGACAATAAGTGATGATTTAATTGCATGTGTAGGTTGCAAATCAAAGAGAAATTTCCTAATGGAAAAGTTAATTAAATATGGAGATTGCTTGTGGAAACAGTGAAATTATCATATCTGAACAGTTTAATTATCAATAGCATAAGCATTTAGTGATAAAACTGAGGCTTGGGAAGATGGGTAGATGACTTTGCAGTTTATTGTTTGTTGTTACTGGGATAGCCTGCTTGTTTTCACTATCCTCTAAAGAGACAGATACTTCATGGAATTTCTCCCAGGAACCTGTTGTCTTATTTTATTTTCTGTGTCCGTTGTTCTCCAAACATTTCTCTTGTTCATTTTCCATTGTTCCATGATGCATTTTTGCAGATACGTTAAAATTAAAATTGTAGCTGTCCTTGAAATATTATTACTACAATAATAGGGAAACATTTAAATTCATTTATTCTTTCACTAACCTATTCATTTTCACAATGCTTCTAATTTCTTCATCTTACTTAGTGGCTTTCCTGAAACTCTTAATAGATTTATGTTTATCTGAATCATCTTAGAATCACTAAGGGAACTAATTCCTTCTCAGCAGTCTCAGCTCTAAGTCCCAAGGCTGGAAACTATAAAAAAGTAGTAGTAGTAGCAATGTCTTACCACTACAATAATCCTTTGTAGAGCGTCATGATAACTTGCTTGATAACTTGAACAAGTAGTGCATTGTTTTTCAGGCAAAGAGAGCTGTTTTGAGCGTATAGTGTCCAGATTTGGCACTAACATAACTTATGTTGTGATTGGAGATGGCCGAGATGAGGAGCATGCAGCTAATCAGGTAACTTCACTCTGAACTCTTATCTCATTTATCTTCCAGGAAAAGAAAGTTGCTTTGAACGAATAATGCAAAGGTTTGGCAGAAAAGTAGTGTATGTTGTAATTGGGGATGGTGTAGAAGAAGAACAGGCAGCAAAAAAGGTAACCTGTCTCCTGAAATGTTGGTGTGATACATAGCTACTAATGCAAGCCTTTCTGTTTGCATTTCTGTCAGTGTTGCACAATGGCAGAATGACAAATAATTTCAGTCTACAGGTGCAAGGCAACAAGAGCATGATGAGATCAGCACTTATAGTAAAATGAACCATTTGGATTCTAGCATTTGCTTCATTTCAGTTTGGAATGAAAAAAATGCAAAATTATTTAAAAATAGACCCCCCCAAAAAAATGATTGGGTCAAAAATGTCTGACTATTTCAAGCAAATTACAGATAAAAAGAAGACAGCAGGGGTTTGACATGAAGGTTGGTTGCTCATTTTCACTGTTTTAAAGCAGTGAAAACAGAGTGGTTTCAAGAGAAATGTTACAGAGAATGTGGAAAACCATTAAAAGGACTGTGAAGATTTTTTGTTAACATTAACAAAAGTATGTAGGTAGCTGGAGAAAATATGATGAATTAATAATTTTTAGAAGCAAATATTAATAGTTTGCTTCATTTGCATCAAGAAAGACACATCTGTAAATGGAAAAAGAAAACAGCATACTGATTGTGCACCAAATCTGTGTTTCTAAAAATTAAAAAAAAATAAATAAATCTGGAAGGATTGTTTCCTCATCTTACAAGCAAAAGTCTAAACTTCACCAGATAAGTTTTCATGTTCAAAAAGATGAAAATGGTAATAATTTGAACTGTATTTCATAGTATGGGCCCTGAAAATGTTCAGAAAAGTGAAAATTTTTGCCTCAGGACATCTGCACAGGGCAGTTTACATAAATATCTTTGTCCTAGCAGCAGTAAAATTAAGCGTGTTTTTAGTAGTAAGTTTTTACAACGTAATTAGAATTAAAAGAAAGTGAAAATATCTGAAATGCTCATTCCAAATGGTTCCTTGATATAGGTACAGTACTGGTGATGGGTCTTTCATAGTTTGTGCTAAACTAAGGTGGTTGGATTGTGTACTTCTTTCCAGTTTGGCATGCTTTTTTCTTAATGTTGGCTGTATTGCATGAATAGATACAGAATTCAGAGGGACGGATGCCCATTACAAATAGATCTGAACAGAACTTGAACTGAACAGAACTGAACAGAACTTGAAAGTATAATTTTTATTGTAGCCTGAAAAATTGCTGAAAGAGTAGTGCATATACCTGCACTATACACTGATGCTTTTTGTAACACACTATCTTCTTTTAGAAACTGAAATGTGCTATTTTCTCCCCCACCCTCCCTTTTTTTTTTTTTTTCTCCTATAAGGACAAAACTGTAATTTAACTCTGTTTTAAAGTGTTGTGTGTGAACCCTCATTTAATGAAAGTCCTATAACTTTGTCAGATGAGCTTGCAAAGTATAACAAGTGGAGCAGAAACCGTTAATGCTCCTTTGTATGGGTTTCCATAATAAAAATATAGCAAATAGCCCTTCATAAATAATGGGCTCTTTCCAAAGACACTATTAAGAAAGACTGTCTAATTATTTTACTTCCAGTTGAGCTATTAACATCAGATCTATTTTGGCCTGATTTTTGTCAGTACCTTACTAGCAAAAATCAATCCTAAAACACAGTGGTGTAAAATCCATGGTGGTAATCTGACTAGACTTGTTATCAGACACCACGCTCTGTCATAGCATTCATTGTTCCTGACCTTTTTCCCCCCTCTGATAAACACAGCACAACATGCCTTTCTGGAGGATATCCAGTCATTCGGACCTCTTGGCTCTCCATCAAGCACTGGAACTAGAGTATTTGTAACTGTGTTCTAAAGTTGGCGATCCTTTTTATATATATATATATTTCAAGTACACTGAAATTTTATGTGTGATTCAGTGCCTCTGGCTTTACACATATGAATTGTCTTAAGAAGGGAAGAAATATTTGGAATTAAAAATTCCAAATTGAAGAATTCAGATTGCTGAATGGAGTTAAAACGTTAGTGCTACGTAAGGAAGCTCTATGGTCTTATATATGCAACGTTTTTAAATGAATTAAAACTGTGGAGGTTGCTGGTACACACCAAATGAGCCCTGACAGGAGTGAACAAAGGACTCAAACTGGCAAAGCACCAACACGCGTTTTCCAACCGACAAGGTGGTGTTCAACAACATTCCTCAAAATGGGATATATTCTCAGCACTGAGGTTTGAACCAGACTTTAGCCTACCTAACCCAGAAAATCTGAATTGGAATGCACTCAGACTGTATAATGACAATCCTGTCTAGACCTGTAATTTGTGTAAATTATTGATGAAAATAATTTACTGTGACTTTATTAGCAGCTGATTTTGGAAGTGGATGCAATTTTTCTTTCTTTTTTGGGGGGACAGGGGAGGGAGAGGGTTATATAATATTGTCTCTTTTATAAGTTTGGCAAACAGAATGTGCATAATGATGTGTTGTGCCTTAAAGAAAAGACTGTGTTTGTGTGTTATAATGTAATTTTGGTTAAAAACTATGTAGATAAACAAAAAAACAAAACAACAACAAAAAAAAAGATTTTGTGATAATTTTTGACATGACCAAATTTGAAATTCAAAGAAATCAAAGAGCAGGGCTGCACCAAAGCATTTAAGTATTTGCTGCAGTAAGAAAAAAAAATAATAAAGGAAAGTTTGTGTTTTTATTCGGATTCTCAGTAATTCCATTGATTGTTTGAGGAAAGTTAAGAGTATGTTGGGAGGTTGATATTGGGGACCGCTACCTTGAAAGCTAAAAAAAAAAAAAAAAAGTGTTTAACACCTTCAGCATCAGTTCTTGATTCTCTGATGAGAGTGCTAAGAGCCATATTCGTGAATTACTTAGTCTGCTGAAAGCCATACAGTGAGTACATCTGCTGTGTGTGAAAGAACAAATTCCCACCCAGCAGAAAAAGGTACCTAGAGATCACTGGTGGCATTACCAGAGGGTGAAAATGCGGTATTAAGCACAGATAAGGGATAAAACACGAGTTCTTTAGAAAGAAAAAAAAAAATCCCAAAGAATCTCTTACCAGTCAGATGCATAAATTATTCTACATTTAGTATATTCAGGATCAACACAGGCTGCTGGAATTGCTGGCATTATGACATTGACCCTTTCAGGAGCACAGTCTAGCTTGGTAAATATAACAGCATTTTGGTGGCTTTTCCATTGTGTTCCACATAAATTTGTCTTCTGTCTTGGGTCAACATGATTTTCTTCACCTATTTTTGATTACATAAGAGTAATTCTGTGATTCTGTGATTACACAGAAGCAACACTAAGAGTCTTTGAATCCAGAAATTTCAATAGCATGTCAGATATATGAACAGCAGATAAGTAAGGGATTTTTAATGAAGAAATATTGAGAAATATATTACCTTAATTTTATTCATTTCTATTAATAATTATGGTCCACATGGTGATAATTACCTTGCAAGTTTTGAACATGCTGCCTTTCAGCTTTGGAAAATGAGCAAGCTCTGTATTTGACACAAGGTCCCTAGCATCCTACATGCAGCTTGAGCACTCTGAAGAAACTACAAGTGGTTCATCTCTCTTTGCAGAAGAAGGAAACTGATTTTTGGTGTATATCACTGTACATCTAGATGCCTAAGGTTTCCTGTGCTACGAGTGTGCAAGAGATGTTAAATGCAAACTCCAGAATGCTTACACAAACACAGTAGTCAGCACTGAGATGTTCTTCCATCTATGTGCTGTGAAGCACGTGCTGTGAAGCCAGCATATGTCTAGTCATCAGGTATTAAACAAATTTCATCTTTGTTGATTGCATGAAACTTATTTGGTAGGCGAAAGCCTAAAGCCATTAAAAGGCCAATGCAAAACTCCTTTATAATTTCATAAAAATGGAAATCTTTGCTGCTTTGGAATTTGATATACAAGTCACCAGACAATGAACTAATGATTTTTTATCACTGGAAAGTATGAAACCATCAGATGAGACTAGCGACATATAAAATCATTATACACTAGCTACTTGGGTGATAGATTTGTGTGTCCAACAAGCAAAAATGACAAATACCTTCTTTAAATATACAGTATTTGCCTATTCAAATTTGGCCTAAAAGTACATTTTCATAAAACCTGTGGTTCCAGCTTTTCGTAGTCTTTCAGGTGAGGAAAAAACGGGTTTCTACTGGAATAGGAAAAATTTTCAACAAAAAGCCCCGCTCAAGTTCCAGCATCAGAACATTGCATGAGAATCTCCGCATAAAAGTTTTTGTTTTAAAAAAATAAAATAAAAAGTAATAATTGGTATGGTGAAGTAGCTTATATTTATTTTCCTTTTTCTTTTCTTTTTTCTTTTTTTTTTTTTTTTACAAGTGATAGTGTTATTTAAATGCATGAAGCAATTTTATTTCTTAAGTTTTGTTTTGTTTTGTTTCAGTTTTTCAGTGTTCTTTTCCAAATCAGAAGTAAAAACAAGCAATAACCAGCAACAATTATTAGTTCTTATAAAAGGTTTGCAGTAGAGTTATGTTCAACTCTCCATGGCAGGTACAGCTCAATTAATATACCGGACTTTCAGAGAGGAGATAGAGGCAAAAGGAGGGAAATTTTTCAGAACAAGACAAAGTTCTGATTTTAATTTGGATTCTGTGTCTTAATGTAGCAGAAGTTAATTATAAAGATGAAAAATCCACAAAAATGCACCAAAAAAATCAAAGATTTATCTCAAAAAACCTTCATAATCTTAAAATTCTAAAGCAAAATTTCAGAATACAAATACTCTCTTCCTATGCAAAATTTGTTATATATATCTTTGAATGAAACTATGTTTTGTAAGACTGCCTTGTAGAAAGAACTTACTCTGATAATAATAATATACTGCACGAACTATACAGAGGAGAAAATAACCAAGGCAGAGTTGTAGTCATGTGAGACTGTTTCAGATGGGCCTGAGTAGATTAAACTGAAGGTTGGTCATTTTGACATTGAGTGCATTTTAATTCAACAGCATATTCATTAGAAACTGCCTTCCATTCATCCTCTCCTGAATAACCAAGATTGAGCACAATGTCATGTTTGCAAGTATTTTGTGCAAATGAAGTATAGGATATAATGCCTTTTGTTGATTAGCAGTTTTCAGTCAGTACAGAACTTGAATGTTCATTAGGCATTTGAATAGTCAGCTTTCAGAATACAAACACAGTGGGATCGCAGTCACAAAGTATTAACGTAATAGATATATAACTCCATGCAGCTCAGTATATCAGTAAAAGAGGAAGCAAAAGCTAAAATTGATTTTTCTTTTTAGATGCCTATGGAGATAGTAAACAAAGGTATAGGTGGCAGCTAGCTCCCAGAACTGATTTCACTAGAAGCAGCAGTGTTTACATCCACAGTAGATGCAGAGTATATTCCAGTGTAAGCACCAACAAGAGAGATGCCAACCCAAAATCCTGTATACAAGCACACATAATATCAGAGCAGGTGAAGTCCCACAACCAATCAGAACTGCAGAGTTTATGGGAAACATGGACTTGGCACACAGTAGCAAGTCTAGAGTTTAGCTGTGAGGGTGTATCCAGATCCAGAGTTTTGGTTCAAAAGTCATCTCTTCTTTACAAGAGTGATACCATGCATATGCTTTAAATGAATATGGTATTTAGTATCTCTGAAGAGGAGCTGAAGTGACATGAGCCAAATCCCAGCAAAAGCAGCATTTTTGAGATATAATTGAAGCCAAGGGTCTCTGTCATGTATTAGAAGATTATAGTTTATTAGGGCCTACATAATTTAAGAAAATGTAAATTAAAATTGAAAGCTTGTAAAATTATGTACATCTTTACTATTTCTCAATAAATACACTTGGAAATGTTATTTTCTGCACTATATTATGTTGTAAGATGTTTAGTTTGTGGTTGAAATCCTCAGTACATGATACCTCTTATGGGAACTGAATGTGACTTTGAACTCTTAAGTATGTCCATGATATCTCAGTGATCCATGTAAGGAACAACTCCATGACCTTGTGGTCTGGTAAAGACTGGCTTCTCTGTGTGCTGTTTGCAAGGTGCAGCCCTTGTGGGGAACTGAAGTTTCCTTACCAAGACCAGTAGATGTTTTGTTCCAGATTGCAGCCTGAGAGACAATGTGTTGTGGTTTTTTTTTGTGATAGCCTGGGGACAAAATACAGTACCAGTGTGAAAGCCTAGACATATAACACATTAATTTAAATTCACTTACCAAGTCACTTACTAGTGCTATGCTAATATCCTTCTTATGGACCACTACTTCCAAAGCATGGGCTGTATGGGAGATGGACTGAGCTACTGAGGAGCAAGTGGCCATTCCAGTCAAAGCTGAGCTTCGTGAAACTTTGTATGTGTCTTTGAGAGTGGTGCTTCATGTCAGGTGCTGGCCTTGGCTTGCAGGATGCAGTGCCGCTGCAGTCTGCTTGCACAGGCTTTAAGGCAGTCACTTCAAAAGCAGGGCTGCAAGATTATCAGCACACACAGATGTGACGTTACAGTCTTGGAAACAACATCGCAAGTGGCAGATCCTCAGTAACCACAGTGCTTCAACCACAAGAGGCAGACCACAAACAGATTTTTTTCCCAGGAGTTAGATTAAAGCATTTCTGTTACACAGACAACTGTTTTCTGTGTAAAGATTCCCAAGTGATGACAAAGACACTGTTTTCTCTGATAAACTGTTCCTTTGTTTAATTTTAATGGCTATGGTCTCTCAGTGTCTATTAGTAGACAGGGTAAAAGTTATGTGTTATTTGCAACATTATATAGATGACTGTGGCTATCTGGACATTGCACAATACAGAAAATGCTTATTGACAAATAAAAACCTTATAAAAATGTGCATATTTTCAAGTGAATTAAAAATATGTAATAAATTTCTTCATGTTTACTGGTTACACTGGAATGTAATATGCATCTGTGGGTACGTGGTACTTTTGCCTTCAACTCCAATTTGAGGAACCAAGAGGAAGATGCATCAAAAATAGAGTGGACAAAACATTAATAAGACCCATCTACTGAGCAGACTGGTACACTGTTGACAGTAGATTTAACATTTCATCTCTTAGATGGGTTTAGATGTAACTCTGGAGAAGAGAAATAAATATTCAGTACCACTTTAGAAGACTGAGTGACTAAAAATTGTGGGAGATTTCAGAACTTTTCCCTTTAAAACATCAGAATAAAAAAAAAAATAGATATTTGGGGCTTCAACATTAACAGTTTCTGTCTAGATTATAGCACAGCATTAGCCTCATTTCTCATTGTTCTGAAACTCATTGTTCTCCATGACTGTAAATAGGTCCTGCACATGATAATTTGCAGCACTGAACCAAAGTAAAAATATTATACTGAGAAAAAGCATGGATGGAGAAATAACTTTTCCTCATTTGGGTGCAGAAATATTCCTCACAGTGAATAATGTAATAGGTATCCATTATCTATAGTGAATCTCCAAGGAAAACTAAGCAGAAATTCAGATTGAAATTATTTGCTATGTGTTCTTTCCATTGTTTGCTGATGCATATTATTGCTAGGGCATGCACATTTACAGATGACTTGTTTGATCCTTTTTCTCTTTTCCAAACAAATAATGGATTCTGAAACATTTTGCAAGTGTTTATAAATTGGAGGGATTTTTTTCAGTTGCCAAAAGCCCAGTCAATAGGAGAAATGATGACACTCAAAACATCTCAATAGTTTATTTTTGCCTGTTATTTTCTCTACAAGTTTCAAGACTTGATTTTCCAAAGATTGAGGCTCTGATGTGAAACCACCAATGAAAATGAAGAGGGATTTTTTTATTTGGTTGGGAAGAACACGGAGAAAGCAACAGCAAGTTTCACAGTTTTATTATTATTATTATTAATGTTGGATGAGCAAAGAAAATGCTTTGTCAAACAAAGCACCATTTCTCAAATTTCGCAGATGAATTAGTCATCAAATATCCATCTAAATTAGAACTTTGCATATGCACTTCAATAAACATGAAGCAAGATTGCAGAGGAGTGTGAAGGACATGGATTTTAAGTGAACTAGATCATATCAAGGAGTCAGGTTGAGAATAGATTTTAATTAGACTTGCTTTTTCTGCTGTGTTCTCAGTGTCTGGGAAAATGAAGTACAGCAGAGGAGCAGCAAAAGGAAAATGATTCATTCATGTTTTTGAGGTTACTATACAACCTCCCATGCACCAAGAAGCACATACTTTTTCTACTATATATATTAAAAAAAAAAAAAAAGAGAGAGATATTTGGAAAATATTAGAATTTTTTGACTCATTGAAACCAAAATGTGTGCACATACCAACACTGATGAATGGAACATTTCCAGTCCTGTGTAGAGAAAGAGTGAATCAACAGCACACTGGATCAGACACAGAAAAAGTATGAACCATTGCAGGAGCCTGGTGACTGTGGATTTCAGATGGGATATCAAGCCTCTGATGTTTTTCCATCTCCTAATATACTTAAATCTTATCTGGGTTAGTATCTTCTTGGTTTCCAGTCTTCTGACTCATAAAGGTTTGGTCCCAATAGTGAACAGGAATGTTTCTGAAAACAGGGGAAAAAAAATATTACTTTTTTTTTAAGAGGAAAGGAAAGGAGAGGAGAGGAGAGGAGAGGAGAGGAGAGGAGAGGAGAGGAGAGGAGAGGAAAGGAAAGGAAAGGAAAGGAAAGGAAAGGAAAGGAAAGGAAAGGAAAGGAAAGGAGAGAGAAGAGAAGAGAAGAGAAGAAGAAAGAGAAGAGAAGAAAGAGAAGAGAAGAGAAGAGAAGAGAAGAGAAGAGAAGAGAAGAGAAGAAAGAGAAGAGAGAAGAGAAGAGAAGAGAAGAGAAGAGAAGAGAAGAGAAGAGAAGAGAGAGAAGAGAAGAGAGAGAAGAGAAGAGAAAGAGAAAGAAGAGAAAGAGAGAAGAGAAAGAAGAGAAGAGAAAGAGAAAGAAAGAAGAAAAGAAAAGAAAAGAAAAGAAAAGAAAAGAAAAGAAAAGAAAAGAAAGAAAAGAAAAAAAGAAAGAAAAGAAAAGAAAAGAAAAGAAAAGAAAAGAAAAAAAGAAAAGAAAAGAAAAGAAAAGAAAAGAAAAAAGAAAGGAAAGGTGAAGAAAAAGGAAGAGAAGAAGAATTCAAAAACAAACAAAAATATAAATAAATAAATAAATGTCTTTTCCCAGCTCTAAAGTCAGAATGCCTATTGTGAAGGCTTTTGCAAATAGAAAACCTCCCAGGCAGTATTTAACTACTGAGAAGCTGTGGTGAGCTGTTTGGTTGCCTGCAGAGTGGGAACAGGCTCATAAGACATGGGAAAATACCAGCAAGAAAGAGCATTTTGCCTGTGCAGTGTGGGGATCTCTCCTGTTTCACAGGAAAGACTTATTTGTGTTCTTTGTGCTCTGCACCCACACCCCACACAGCAGCACTGCTCCTCCAGCTGTCTACAAACTCTAGTCCATGGGTTTTCATCTGTTTGCTGCCTTGTTTCTTTGTTTTCACACCTCTCTGTTACCACATTGCTCATACCGTAGCTGCTCTTTGCTGTCAGTGAGTGTGTTAGGATCCCAAATAGCCTTGAAAGTGTAGCAGCTCCTTACAGCTTTCACAGAGAAAAGAAAGAGGCTCCCAGTGGTCTTATGCCACATGGGCTACCAAGGTGAGACCCCACAGCTCTGATTCCAGGCCTGTTTGGGATATTGGGGCTATAGGAGAGAGGTGCATGCACAGAACTAGCTGTAGGCAGCATCTTAGCCAGACATGCTGCTCTCCCTTTGATAGGCAGGGCTGCCAACACTTCTGCTTACATCCAGTACAACTTGTAGGTCTTTTGCAAGAGCAGACCAACAGGAGATGCCATATACTTTCGCAGAGCCCCAGGAAGCAAGGTGAGCAGAGTTGTCTTTCCAGGGTGGGAACAGAAGCACAGAAGTGACCTTATGGGGTTTGTGGAAGAAGCACATGGAATAGATGTGTCTCCTTGTCAGTGGAGCTGAGGGCTGGTGTGTGGAGAATAGCTAGCTGGGTTAACGTGAGGACAGCACGTTCAGTATTGTGGGCCTTCCAGCCCCCAAGCAACATGAAGCACCACCTCCTTCCTCCTCCTCCTTCTCTGACTTTGGTGTTCCCTCTGCTGTTTTTCACTCTCATCTGTTCCCTTCTGTTCTGTCTGTGCCATATTTCCTGCCCCATGCTGTCCCTGAGGTGCCCACGCATGGTTGCGGGTCCCAGCCCTCACCTCACAGAGGCCCTGAAGTCCCCTGCCACCACCATAGACACCCACACCCAAATCAAGAGGGCACGGGAGGGATATCTCCCCTGGTAGCTGAGCTGTTTGCTTAGTGTAACCCAAGGGCAGGGTCACCACAATTCACAATCACATGACATCTGCTGCACACAGACATTTAAATAAATTAATTCTCCAGGAAATAGTTAAATGTTATGGTGAAACCTTAGTAACAATCAGGTGCAGTTGATTTAATCCCTTGCTATTGCAACACACTAATGGGCTATAAAGATTATTTTAATTCATATATATATGTATATATTTCTCCTGGAATAAACCATTTATCCAGTGGGAATAGGCAGTGGTGAATGGGGGCTGAAACTGATATCTTCTAAGAATTTTTTTAGCAACAAACAAATACTCTCTTTCACTCATGCAGATTGCTGTCCTGTTGGTGACAGACGTGTATTGCCCTGTGAAACTTGCTTCAGCATGAAAGCTGTTGCTTCTGGTTGCAAAATCACTCCTCTTCCTGTGTGGCCTTCTCTGTGCTTTCTCCTGCTATCTCCACACAGTCCTGGCCTGTCCCCCTTGGACTGTGCTTTGTATACAGAACTGGACATACTGGTCCAGCTGC